TCGCGCGCCGCGCAGCCGCCGCCCCAGAGTGCTACGCGCGGGGGCGGGGTTGGGCTGCGCAAGCGCGCAAGCGCTTCTGGCCCGAGCGCCGGATCCCATGACATGTCAGTATGGCGTTTCCCGGGAAAAACAGAGCAGTGGAGCCGGGCCTGACGTCCGCACCGGCATTCGGTCCCACACGACTGTGGCAGTCATCCTTGCGCTCTCCAGGTCTCGTGTGTTGCGGTCGGGGCGTCAGGAGCGGAGCCCTGGAAGCTGCAGGACGAAGGGAGGCAGGTCCGCACCTCTCCGTTGTTCCCAGAGCGATTGAGCAGGGAAAGCGGGTTCTGATCCACCGGGAGAGTGGGATGAGTCTCCGCAGTTCCTTTGGGATAGAGACCACAGAAGACACCAGTATAGGCCAGCATCCCTCATCTCAGCAACCAAAAACTGCTGCTGCTTACCAATCACGTTTGTCCTCTGTGTATTTTCTCAGAAAAAAAAAAAAAAATCCAGTCATAGAATTACTGCCTCTTCCTGACATACAACCTACAATAGACCTCACTTCCTTTAACATATCCTCAAATCAATTGACTACACACCCAGCTCCTTCCAGTCCTTTCCAACAGTGCCTTGCCTGTGTTTTCCGTGTTGTGTGGATTCCCTCAGTGCAGCATTGCTCCTCTGCAAACCTGTCCCGGGTGTTCCGGCTGTAATAGGTGGATCTGCCCTCCTGTCAGGCAGAGCCATCTCCTCCACAACAGCTACAGGATTTTGAAATAACAGAACTTTGTCTCCTGACCTCACCTCTCACCCACTTCTCAGCCCACCCCAACTTGACACCACACACTAAGTTTCCAGAGCAGCCCTCTCTAGGCTTGCTGGTGACTTCCCACTCCTGCAAATAGATGTTATTCCATGTCATGTTTGCCACTTGACCTGTCTTTTCCTTATGTGTGGATGCCTGTCCAGGTTTTACTCCTATTCGATACTCTATCTCTACCTCATTTACAGCCTCAACATCTGGCTGGCTGATGGAATTATCTTTTTTTGTGGAGACAAGTGGCTGAGTAGACTGGGCTGGGAATGCACTCACAATGCCCCTGCCTCCCAGTGCTAGGAATGTAGGTGTGTCAGCACTCCTGGCAGTTGGAATTCTGCCTCGATCTTAATCCCTGACATGTCTTTCCTTTAGTCCTGCTTGGTCCAATATGCTTGGGCAGAAGAAAGTCAGGGCAATGGGAGTATGTGGCAGGGGAGGTTGTTCCCTTCATGGTGAACAAGCAGAGTGGAACAGCAACAGGAAAGAAGCAGGGAAAAAATATAGTCCCAAAGGGGAAGTCCTCAGTGATGTACTTTCTCCAGTTCCCACTTTCCACCACCCCATCCTCTGCCAACAGTCTATTAAAATGTTAAACTTACTGATGGGCTAAACTCTTCCTTAGGTCAGAGCCTCATGGTCTGTTTCAGAACATGATGTGTTTTATTAATTTTGTGGACATCTCTTAATCCAGTCAAGTTGATCACCAATGTCAACCATGGCAATGTCCATGTGCAGACATTTGTGTGGAGTTAAGTTTTCTGCTTCTTTGGCCAGATAACAAGAATGCGTCTGTTGAGTTATATAGTGAAAGTATATCCACTTTCAGAAGAAATTATCAGTGTGTTCCAACATGGTTGCTGCATGTTACATTCCCGCCATCAGGGAATGAGAGTGCCTGCTCTCCATATCTGTACCAGCATTTTTTCTACGTGTTCTGGATTTTAGCCATTCTAACATGTGTGTGGCTAGTAAACCTTGAAGTCAAACTCAATTAGAGAAAAGTGCCAGAATTGTAATTACAAAGCTGAGTGACTTCCACAAGCCAAGAGCCAGAAAAAAAAAAAAAAACATTCAGAGCACTTTGCACACATAGAAGCCATTTCAGTCATGACCTCAGGAGATGATCACAGTTAGCACTCTGCCATGGAATTTACCTGGCCTTAAGTGGCATGAGTGGAATAAACAAGACAGAAACAAGTTCACTCATTTAGATATGCCTCTCCTTTAACTCTTAGTGAACATGAAGTTCAGGCTTGTTTGGAGCTGTTGCCCACAATGCTGAGAACATTCCTATCCATCTGATGAGCACAGATTTTCATTTCTGTTGGAAAATGCCCAGAGATCGGATTGCTGGGTCAAAAGCGATATTTACTATATTGAGCTATATTAACTCAATACTTGGGTTTTGTTGAGATCAAGTCCTGCTGTGTGACCCAGGTTGAAATGTACCATGCTGACCAGGGTGGCTTGAAAACTAGAGTGATCCTCCTGCCTTAGTCTGCCAAGTGCTGGGATCAAACACACATCATAGGTTACAAGTTCAGCTGGGCAGTGGTGGCACACGCCTTTAATCACAGCACTTGGGAGGCAGAGGCAGATCTCTGAGGCCAGCTTGGTTACAAAGCGAGTTCTAGGATGGCCAGAGCTACACAGAAAAACCCTATCTTGAACACTGTGCCCCCAAAAGGTTACAAGTTCAGTTTTGTTTAAGTGTGTAATCATGATGCTAAGCACATTCATGTTTCAAACCATCACTGTAGGAACACGGTCCAATGGAGTCCTGTGAGAATTTGGAGTGCTTCTAAGAAAACTCCAAGAAAACGAGCCTTGTTCTTGGACTGTGTTTTCCTGCTCCTCCCAGGTGTATTGGACAGGAATGAGTTTCATTATTGCTTGCTTCTGTTACTTACTCTGTGGAAAGCCACATTTTTGCCAAGTGCAGCTTGTCCTTGTGACTGTACACCTTACTCCTGTGATGCTTAATCTTCACAATAAATTGTCTGATGCTATGAACAAGACTGGCTGGTGCCTCCTTTGTCTCTATTCCCTGGGTCTACCACCTCTAGAGCAGTGACGCGTCTTTGCTTTGAGGGTTCACACTCAAGTTGCTCCCACCTTTGGGATGCTGTTCTGCTTGTGGACCCAGCTGTTGCACTGTGTTACAGCCCTCATAAATGCCACACAGGGTCACATGGTAAGACACCACTGAATTTTCTACAATAGCTATCCTATTTTACATTTCTAGAAAGAGGCGATTCCTGTGTTTCAGTGCTTGGGCTGACCAAATTTGGAGTGCCGAGGTCTTGCAAACACAGAATTGTACTTTCTAGCACACATACAGGTAATGGTCATCTTCAAATTCTGGCCTATTGGGGAGCTCGCCAGACCCCAGGTTAGTTCTTTTCAGCCTACTGAATCTGTGGCTGGCCAGGGTGATTCTGGTTCAAACATCCAAAGGAGCAGGAGGAGAAAGAAATTGGACTCTGAGCAAGGAGATGTAAAATCAAGGTTCTCTTATTCCTCTGGCTGCTGGTTTTCCATTTTATCAAGCACAGGACAAGGCTGGAGCTGAGATTCACTAGTAAAGATACATCTGGGCAGGATAAGATTTACAGTGGATACTGTTTCTTATGTGTAACAATCTAGATACCATCCCAGTACAAACAGTCCTTTATAGATCTGAGTTTATTACTTGAAAAACAGCCAAGGGTACCAGCTCTTCATGAACCTGGAGGTGGGAAACACTAAAACAAAAGGTCACCATGCTATGATGGAACACCCTGTTGCAGAACTAATGGCTCTAGGGCAGGTTCAGAGGAATCGTGAACCTCATCAAAGCCTTAAGAGAGCCTTGAGGGACTACAGGGAAGTGAGCGTACCTGCTCTTGTCTAAGAGGGTTAAAAGGCGCTCCACTGAGATATGGACTCTGCTGTGCTCCTATCTGTGCGGCTCCTGTGGATACAGGCAAGGGTACCAAGGCAGACTTCTCCCCAGGCTTATCCATCCATTGTCCCCCCCCCCAGTTAGTAGACTGGTCCTAAGAGACCTCTGAAATATCAACTGAGGGCCTAAGCTTGCTCTTTGAGGGACAGTCCAGAAACCCAGCTTTAGATGCTGTGTGTCACAGACTGGAAAATTAACTGTCTTGGAAAGAGGTCAACAGAGACCAGGGATGGCTCAGTCAAGCATGTGCCTGTTACTCCCTTGTCATATCTCAGGATGTAACAGGACTTGAGGGATTAAAAACTCAGACACTAGAGTAACGAGATACTGAACACAGTGTCGTGTCCCCAAGTCAGCCAAAGACACTAAAAGAATCTGAGATCATGGTAAGTTGTGGAGATGAACCATGAGGTGGCCGTCAACATCTCCCTTCCTGGGTCATGTACCCCAGTATGGGCTTGAACAGCAAAACATCCCAGAATGTTCCTTATCAAGTCAGATGAATGACAAAGAGGCCACTTCCTCCTTTGCTCTCTCTTGCTTTGATCAGGTGGGAGGCACCCAGTCCCACCTCCAGTGGGAGGTGCACTGTGGATACTGTCAATAAACCCGTGCTAAGAACTAAGTGAGACCTCTAGCCAAAAAGCAGGAAATGAGGCCCTTTGTCAGTTTGCTGGAGAGGAACTGAATCTTGTCAACTGCACTTGTGAGTGACAGCCTTGACATGAGACTACAGCCTGAGCACATGCAGACTGTGGCCTGTGAGGCCTCACCAGACAGAGACACCACTAAACCACTTGTACTCCTAAACCACCGAACCTGTAATATGTGTAAGCTGCTAAATTGTGGGGTAGTTTGTTACACAGCAACAGACATTGCTGGCTGATTTTCTTACACAGGATGAACCCTTGAGGGTACGAAAGCCCCACATCCCACCTTTGCTCTGGTGCTGCCCATGGCAACCCCATCAAGGGACAGCAGGGAGTGTGGCTGGATGAGATGGAGTCTGCCTGACTCTCCAGTTCTGAGAAAGCTGCTGCCAGGAAGCCTTACAGGATCAAGTGCAGAATGCACAGGCTCTGTACCCAGCGGGAAAGGAGAAGAGGAGAGCCAGTGAAGCCACAGAAGACAGCATCAGCTGAGCCCTACTGGCATGGCCCAACCCTCTCCAAGGAACATTATGCTATGTTTTCTAAATCCCATTTCCCTTCCATGTTTGGAGGACAGGAGCTTTATCAAATTACTATAGGAATAGTGGAAATCATACCACTGGGTTCTGAAAGGCAAACCCAGTCCTTTGCCACCCTTGAGCCCTCCATGTCCTGCAGGGCTCTTGGTCTTCCTCCTCCAGGCAGCCTTCCTTGGGGCCTGCCTGTTGGAGGGCATCTCAGCTTTTCCTCAGCTCTCACCCCACTTATTACTCGGTCCTGGCCTTGTGTCTGACACACTGATGCTTGGGAAGTATCATCCCCTTTGAAATTACATTCTTAAGGTAGAGGCTGTGGCCCCCAGGACTAGGCTGAATTTCCTGCTCAAACTCCTCCTGGTCACGAAGGGACATACACAGGCTGTCCCCAGGGGTTTGTTCACAGCATCCCTAAGTTGGATGCCCAGACTCCAGTCTTCTCCTCCCAGTTCAGGACGGACCGGGTCCCCAGAAAGACCCACATCTTGTCTGCTCTTGCAGAGCACAGGGACAGCCAGGCCTCCAAAAGAGCTCCCAGGGACAAGAGCACTCGTGCAGATGGGTCTTGAGCCAAGGCAAAGCTACAGGAGAAAAAGCAAAGGTCCGGTGCTGGCAAGACCTGAGGGGTTTCTGCGTGAGACACCAGCTGGTGGCCAGGATCTTCTGGAAGTCTCTGGTTTTGAGTTCCCACCACCTCCTTAGCTAGAAAACAAATAGGAGTTTGGGCTCAAGGCCAGCCCAGAAACTTTTACATTCCATCCCATAGGGAATGGTACTTCTCTCCCCCTGCTTTGTTCAGCATCCCCGTGTCCCCCTGTAAGAGCACTGCCCAGGGCTGGCTCTCAGATCGGTCAACCGGGTGGCTCCTCCTCAACTACCAGAAGCTATCTGGGAGCATCGGTGGGGCAGGGAGTGGGGGGGGGCAGGAAGGGAGGGCATTTGGCCTCCCATACCCAGGTTTTTCAGCCCGGCCTCCTCCCACAGAGCACTCACCTTAGTGAGGGTGGGCATGCTCCTGTGGGCGTCCTGCTTCTCTGGGAAGGACGTACACAGCCTCCCTCAGCATGGTGAATACAGCAGCCAAGGTGCTGCCCAGTTACTGGCAGCTCAGAATCTACAACAGAAGGACAAGGGGAAGTTACCTGCACTAGGCTTCTGGTTCCCCCATTGTCGGGGCATAGTGGGGACTGGCTTGCTTTGGAGCGGGGTGGGGGTGGGGGGTGAGGTGGGTGGGCAGGGGGCAGCGGTGGGGGGGGGCGTGAGAATAAGCTTCCTAGGTAGGGAGAAAGATGTAGTTTCCGGTGTGGCAGTCCACAGGGAAGGGTCGCTGTCTGGCGACAAACCTAGGCAGCTACAGGCACAGCTAGATCATTGGAAATCAAGGGGTTGAGGCTGAAAAGGAAAGTGGCACTCACCAACGGTAAACCACTGCCATGGTGGCCAGGGGCTCTGAAGACGCAGTGCTGTGCGCCCCACCTCGGGCTAGCCTGATCCCTCGGGGGCTCAGCCGGACGCGGCCGCTCCTCTTTCAGCTGCCAGTCCCTCGGGCTCCTTGGGCACCGTTGGCGTCGTTGGCACCGTTGGCACCTGCTCGCGCACAGGCCTCTGGGAGCGCGCAGGAACTGCAACTCCCAGGAGGCCTCGCGGCTGCCCCCCTCGTGGGGAGCAGAGCCAAGGCTTGGGCTCCAGCCTCGTGGCTCTCCTTGGCCCTGGCCCTGTTGCTTCTCCGTTCCCCAGTCCCTCCGCGTCCCCAAAGGCAGGCTCCCCCAGTGGCAAGGAACACTACAGTGGAGATGGCTGACTAATAGGAAATGGGACGACAGGAAAAGAAGGAAATCGCAGGAGACCGCAAGATTTTATTTTATTTTTGTTTTGAGATAGGGTCTCTCTATGTAGTTCCTGCTGTTCCAGAACTCACTCTGTAGACCAGGCTGGCCTCAAACTCAAAGAGATACACCTGCCTCTGCTTCCTGAGTGTTGGAATTAAAGACGTGCGCTACCATGGCCTGGCTGATTTTTATTTTAATTTAAAATTATTATTTATTATACATACATGTGTTTTGCCTGCATGCTCGCACATCACATGCATGCCTGGTGCATGCTTGGTGTTGAGAAGAATGCATCAGATCTCCTGTAACTCCAGTTAGAGATGTTTGTGAGCAGCTGTGTGGGTGCTGGGAACCGAATTGAGGTCCTCTGCAAGAGCAGCCAGTGTTTTTAACCACTGAGCTATCTCTCCAGCCTCTTAAGATTAGTTTGTTTGTTTGTTATGAGACAGGCTTTGTCTATTTAGCTCTTGATGTCCTAGAACTCTGTATAGAACAAGCTGGCCTTGAACTCTCCCTCTCTAGTGCCAGGATTAAAGGCATGTGCCACTACCCCTGGCAGCTCTAGATTTAAATATATGACTTGTGGAAGTCAAAGAACAACTTGGTAGAGTCAGTTCTCTCTTTTCCGAGGCTGGAACTCAAGCTGTCAGGCTTGTGCTGGCAAACGCCTTTACCACCTAGTCATCTCTCCAGCCTCGGGGTCCCTGCCCCTGTCACCAGCAAGGTGCCAAAAAGTGCCATCACCTGGGGAAGTGTATTCAGGCAACAATCAGTGGTGGTCATGGTGGTTTGTGGTGCCATTTGACATGGTCGTGAGTGGGCAGGGTGTAAGGAGCTAACAGTGTGGGGAGAAGATGGATAGATGAGGCTCCTGAGTGGCAGAAGGCAACAAATAGAGCTGATGGTACAAGGACCTTTGGGCCAACTTGCTGAAGACAGGTTGAAAAACAAGTTTCTGGATGAGGGAGTGATAACCCAGGAGAGGTTGCAAGCAAGTGGAGATGGGACTGTGTCTTGAACACGATCTATGTGTCACAGGTGTCTTTTTGAAATTCACACATAGAAAAAGGGAGAATAACTCACAGCAAATCCATCTAACAACCAAACAATCCAGCTCTAAGGGATGCTACCAATCTCTGGAGGCAGGATTCACTCACAGACTGTGGGTAGAGGTGGCCCAAAGTAGATTGCAATTCTGATTGTCCAGTGCACAGCAAGCTGTCATGACCCACACCCACTGGTGGGAAGGACAGTTCTATCTCTGCAGCAGATGTTCCTTGGTGGAATGGTGGCCAGCTGGTCACAGCCTCAGCCCTACTTAGCCAGGTCAACCAAGGTGCTAGAATCTCAATAGTCACCAAGGTTAGAGCCAAGCCAGAGGCAGAAGATCCCGGTGGCAGGCAAGGTCACTGGAAGGGTCCCTTGTTGCTTGCATATGTGGCTTGTGTGTGTTGAGGTTATGTTGGAGAACATCCTCTGCTGAGCTGCCTAGAGCCTTGGTAATAGCAATCCATGTTGTCAGGTCGATGCATAACCTCCATCTCTGTCACCAGGGCCGCTTTGTTCATGGGTCCATTGGGCAATGACAAGAATGGCTGCGGAAAGAGGCTGGCTGCCCACAGATCATATCTACTTGATTACTGAAATCCCCCACTTGTAACTAAGATATGACACAGGGCTGGGAAGTTAATATATCCTTGACGTAAAACTGTAAAGGCATACTGCGGGCCATGCCAACTGAAAGCAAATTGCTTCTGGTGGTCCTTATGGGCAGGAACCAAGGAAAAAGACTTTCTAGATCAATAGTTGTATATCATTCACCAGGAGATGTGTTAATTGGTTCAAACAAGGACACCACATCTGGTACAGCAGTTGCAATTGAAATCATGACTGAGCTTTTGATAGTCAGTTGCCATTCTTCATGATCCATCTCATCTGTCTTCTGCATTGGCCAGAAAGGACCGTGAAAGAGAGAGACAGTGGAAACCACCACCTCTGCATCTTTTTTATTTTCTTTCTTTCTTTCTTTCTTTTTTTTTGTTTTTCCAGATGGGGTTTCTCTATATAACAGCCCTGGCTGTCCTGGAACTCGATCTGTAAACTGGACTTGAACTCAAAGATCCACCTGCCTCTTCTTCTTGAGTGCTGGGACTGGAAGGCCTATGCCACCACTGCCAGATGACCTCTGTATCTTTCGAGTCCTTGATGGCAGCACTAGTTTCTGCGGTTCCTCTAAGGAAGCAATACTATTTTACATTCGCCATTTTCCTTGGCAACTCTGGTTAGCCTTTCCAACAATAATAGCCCTTACTCCACAGGGCAGAAAACCAATGTGAGAATTCTGCCAGCTTCTATGTATATCTATCCCAAATTATACATTCTGGGACTGGGAAAATAACCACAGGATGAGTTTGGGGACCCTTGGGACCTACAGTGAATCAGATTTCAGCCAAAATACCATAACTCACCTGATGTAAGCCCCTTTAACTGGAGGGCCACAGTATTTCTTGGGATCTCCTGGAGTCAGAGTCAATTTAGCACCTATTGGTAACATCAATAGACCCCAGTGTCAATAACCCTTGTAAAAAGTAGTCCCTTTGGGTAAGGACTGGAAAAAGGTTAACAGTAAAACTTTTAGGTATTTTGTTCCTCAGAGGAACCTGGCCATCCCTTAATTCAAGGTGTTTTGGGTCTGCAAACTAGCTCAAGTCTGAAACTGGTTCACAGGCCAAGATTACCTTTTGTTATGATCCAAAGGAGCCTTTCTTTCATTTGTTTGAAAGGCTTCTTACCTATTTCATGCCTGGAAACACCATGATTGGTTAGCCAGTACCAAAGGTCTGTATGAATCACCATAAAATCACTTTGCCTGTGCTGACCAGGCCAGGCTATTACGGACACTGATTTGGTTACGCTGCCCAACACCATAACTACAATGACCTTGCCCTTGTGGATTCAGTGCTGCCACCTGCCCCCCCCCCCACTTCGGGGCTCACTGCATTTAATCCACCCAACTGAGCAAAAGCACCTTCAACCCAGCAATCATATGGCACAAGGACAACAGCAACAGTGAAGCTCTCTGAGTGTGCTGCTCCGCTCACCACTTTGTTTCATGTGATGATGAGTGAAAGCCATGTGCTCTGGACTTTCCCATTGTGGAGGATCAGGTTTTATACAGGGTACCCACTCCAGCATTGCAATTTCCTTAAGCCTTCAAATCACTTTATCAACACCAAGCCAAGAGATAGTAGGCTCCAACTCCTTTTTAGTGGGCCATCTGTTGACAAATGCTTTAGCCAATTATTCAAACAAAATCTTGACCCCTTTAACTGTGCAAAATTCCATTCATTGGGGCCATATCAATAAGTCCAGCTTGATCTAGTTTTTAATGTCCCTCCCCCACACACACTATTATCCCATACCCTTAAAATCCACCTGTTGTGGAGTATTACTTTAACTAGGCAAAGGTGTGTTACACTTATTTATGCTGCAGAATTATTTTAAGTGTGTGAAGGTGTGTTACTTTTGTTTAGGCTGCATTTGTTTAGTTATGTAAAGACATGTTGTATTTGTTTCACCTTGCCTGCCTAAGGCACTTGATTGGTCTAATAAAAAGCTGAATGGTCAGTAGGTAGGCAGGACATGCTAGAAGTTGGTTAATCTCATCACAGAACCCATTCATTTCCTTGGTCAATTTATCCAAAGATTCTAAGATCAACCAACCATCATCATCAATTTCCTTATTTTTCCACAAATTGTCAAAATATTATATACAGACTCACCAAATCTGTTGCCTCTCATAATTGGTCAATCAGGATAACCAAATACATTTGTCTCTTTAAGTTTGTAAAATAGTTTATTCGATGGGCTTTTAGTACTCTCCAAGCTACAAGGAAAGGTGTCAGTAACTATATGTGTTGGCAAATGGGGAAACCGGTTCCAGATACTTAAAAGAATTATCCTTATACTTATGTTGATCTAGAACCACTTCTGTTACCAAAATCTGTATTAATCAGGGCTCTCTAGAGGAACAGGACTTATAGAATGAATCTATAGTCATATAAATTCATAGATACAGCTATATAGAGGGAATTTGTTTTTGGAATGGTTTACAGACTGTGGTCTAGCTAGTCCAATAATGGGTGTCTATCAACGAAAGGTCCAAGAATCCAGTCCATGATGCTGGATGTCTCAGCTGGTCTTCAGTATACACTGGAATCCTGAAGAAGTAGGCTCTAATGCCAGTGAAGGAATAGGCTTACTAGAAAATGCATGAGCAAGCAGGCAAAGCAAACAAGCTTCCTTCTTCCATGGCCTTTATTTAGACTGCCAGCAGGAAGTGTGGCTCAGATTAAAGGTGTATCTTCCCACCCCAAAAGATCCAGATGAAAAATGGGTCTTTTCACTTCAAATGATTTAATTAAGAGAAAAATATTAGGGAGCTGGAGGGATGGCTTAGTGGTTAAGAGCACAGTCTGCTTTTCCAGAGGTTCTGAGTTCAATTCTCAGCAACCACATGGAAGCTCACACCATCTATAATGAGATCTGGTGCCTTCTTTTGCATGCAGGCCTATGTGCAGACAGAGCACTCACATAAAAATATACATAAAAAATTTTAAAATAGTTATAATTGAAAAAAAAATCCCTCACAGGTAGGTGTACCCAGCCACTTGGGTTTTAGTTAATTATAAATGTAGTCAAGTTGACAATCACTAGCTGCCACATGGCACACAACCCTGCCTGCTGAAACCTTGGTTTGAGCTCCATGAATCTTGCTTTGAACTCCCAGCCTATGGAAACACTTGGTAATGTGGGCTCTTTTAAGCCACCGACTCCATGGTCATTTGCCGTGGCTACTATAGAAAACACAGAATCAGAGATCTGGGGTGAAGTGGCAGTTTCCTGAGAAGGGGAAACCAAGCCATCAAGTATCAGCCGGTGAGGGGCCACCAGGAGAGGATGCGTGGTGAAAATAGTGGTGTGGCTGGAAGGGAAATTTTGGTCCCTGACTGTGCCCTACCCAATAACACTCCCCAGCTGGTCACTCCAGAGGCCATTTCCACTTCTGAGAAAGAGACTGCGCTTGGATTACAAAGAAGTTGGCTGTGGGCAGAATGAGCATAGGGGCCTGTGGGAAGATGCAACTGCTATTATTGCAGCAGAGATGCTCTTTGAGCAGTTCCTGGCTAATGCTCTCAACTGTGACATCAGAGCTTAGCGCTCTGGCCTCTAGGCAGTGGTAGAAGCCAAGCAAGAGTATTGGCTCATTATCTGTCCCTGTGGAGCTCTACACTACTTTGAGGTGATGACAATAACCCCAGGAATAACATTTCCATTCCTCTGGCTGCCCACAGCTCGGCCCCAATGCTAAGATTAAGATGCATGGATTCTAACCTGGCATAGAGATGAACCCCATTGCTGAAACACTCTGGGGACCAGAAGTTACTATCCAGCTTTTGAGAAAGATGCTCTTAAACACACATGACCTAGGAAGAGACCCAAGCGACAATCCTAAACCCTCACATGTGAGCCTGCCTGCTTGCAGCCCACAGGAAACCATATACTTTGGGGTGTGTGAAGGTGTCAGTGATTGCTGCCAACTGACTATGGAGATCTGTAGACATACTTGCCGCCCACCATCCCATCAGCTTCATCTCCTCCCTCAGGGTTCTGACTCCAGGGTCTGGCATAACCTCAGGCCCAAGTTGCCTGTGGCCATGACACTTCACTTCAAGACAACTGGCCGGCATTCCTTGTCTCTGTAGTGGCACCAGGGGAAACGCCTACAACCAAGAAAAAGGACAAGCCAAGTCCACCACATGACTCAGCTAGTAAAAAGGGTTCCCAAAGAAGCCTGAAGACCCAAGTTTGCAAACCTCTCAGGAAGGCCAGGACTCCCTAAAGTTATCCTCTGACTTCCTCATGCATCTCTCTAACACACGCACGCACACACATACACACTTTTATTTTCCTAGACATAGTTTTAGCACTGGCTGCCCTGTAATTCACTCAGTAAACCAGGCTGGCCTCAAACTCAGAGATGTACGAGTTTCTGCCTCCCAAGTGCTAGGAGTAAAGGCATGCACCATCCCCACTCAGCACAAATAACATTTTTAAAAAGAAAAAAAGGGTGACAACCTAAAGAAGATTAACATCTACACAATACTCATGAGCCTTAAGCCAGGCCTTTGAAAGATACTTCGGAGGCAAAGGACTAGCAACTAGTCACTAGTGCTGTCTCTGGAGCTCAGGAGAGAGCAGGACCTGCCCAGCAACTGGGACATCTGTACCAGCATCTCGTGAATACACTTTGCTGACAACGAGCAAACACTTTAAATGGACATTCACCAGGGTTGGATGCAGGAAGTGTGTGCTTGGTTGGTTGAGCATTCACACATCTGATAAATCAATGACAGTACACCGGGGGGAACTAACTCCAAAGTTCTTTATTTAATTCAATTGGAACATTTGATGGCAACCAACTTCCCACATTCAAGTGTCTTACAAACAGGGAGCCGCTCTCAGTGACCCTGTGTAAGGCACCTACCTCCCCTGGTCTCCTGGCTGAAGCACCAAATCTGAACTTCTATTCAAGTGAGGACTGCCATGGCCTGGGTATCCCTGCTTAGAACACTAGTGCTCAGCCTCAGGATTGGCCACTTCTGTCCTAGGTCCCTAAGACTGTCTGAAAGGCAGGGACAGGTGAACCGGGGAGGTGGGGGGTTGGCAGCTCTACAAGAGTCTCCCTCCTTTCTGTAGCCTCCCTCCCCCAATCCAGGAGCTACTGGGTCCAAGAAACAGATTCCCTCAAGAAACAGAGTTATGGGCCTGCAGAGTGTGGCCATCAAGGGCTGCCATGCAAGCCATCCATTGAAAGAGTAAGAAGATATACCTGGGCTGTCACATCATCATCTTACACCCAGGGAGGAATGGCAGCCCACCCTCCACAGGTCCCTGGTTAGTGTTGTTGGTCACCAAGGCCTCCACACACTCTGGGCCAGGCGAGCTGCAGTCAGGCTGCCTAAGGATGTAGGTACCAAATCCGGCCCCTCAGGAGACACCCGATTTAGTTCAGCCTCCGGGACCTCTTCTAGGTCAGAACACAGGTCGTCCCCGGGACCTGGGGGACTGGACAATGGGGACCCTGGAATCCCAGCGGGAGGCCAGCTGTTCCTCCCAGGGCCTCCAGGCAGCCCAGCTAGGGAGTCCCCCAGCAGATCCCGGAAGCTGCTACCCTCGCGCAGTGGCATGGATTCTAGCAGGTGGTTCAGCAGTTCAGCTGAGACGGTGGCATCGATGGCTTGACACGTGGACACGAACGTGTGCACCTCATGCATGCATTGGATGTAGCCAGCAGCGAAGCGCTCGCTTGCTTCAGCCTGCAGCTGTTCCCGCTCTGTGCAGGAGGGTGGGAAGAAGAAAGCATCGTCCTGCACCGTGAGCAGTGACTATTATGGCTCGGACGATCCGCTCCTGGGACTCACCCAGGAGACACACTGTCGTGTCCTGCTCTGGGCGGGGAGCCCTCGCCGTGGATAGGACCCGGGCTGCGGGAGCCGACGCGTCCTGCTCCTGGGTGGCAGGCGCGCCCGGTCAGAGCCCCCGCCCTAGATCCCCGCCTCCACTCACCGCGCGCCCGACCTCGCAGCGCGCCCTGCACGCGCCGCACGGTCAGTTCCAGCACTTCAGCGTTCTCTAGCTTGGTCTGCACCTGCGCAGAGGGGAAGGGGATTGAGTCAGGCCCTGAGCTCCAGCGAGCCTCCGTAACCTCCCGCGCCCTTCGCTCCGCACCTCGGTGCCGGCCAGCAGCAGCCGCAGCTCCTGAAGACTCTCGTTGATCCGCGCGCGTCGCTTCTTCTCCACTAGGGGTTTCCGGGCCTGTGGAAAGCGGGCCACTGAGCCCCGGGCCCGCGCAGCCTCCCGCAAGCCCATCCGCCCGTGGACCCTGCCCGCACCTTGCGGTCCCCCCGTCCTTCCCAGCGGTCCTCATCCTCTTGGCCTGCACGGCTGGGCGCCAGGGGCGGAGACATGGTCCGCGGCGCCCGGAGCACGGCGCCAGGAGCGAGTGCAAACCACACTACCAAGCGAGTTTGCAGCCCGGAGGCCTCAAGAACTCTTCGAAGTCTTCCGGCCCGCGGTGCCCCGCCCCTTTTATAGCACCTTATTTGCATTTCAATGCACCGATTGGTTGTGCGTGGCCGGAGCTGCCAGCCGCGAGGCTGCCTGCATCCAATGAGAATGGCCCGCTTTGTCAGGCCCCGCGAGTCTCTGGCAGCTGGCGGGGCGGAGCCCGCAGCCGGACCTCCTGCCACTCCCGCAGGGGCGGGACTCCGGGACAGTGACCCCGGGGCTTCTGCCTTGCTTGTGTACTTGTATCTCCCTCTGCTGAGTTATGAGCCCAGATCTGCCGGCCTGTGAGCCGGGATTTAAGCTATCCAATCTTCCGTCTGAGCAACCACCCATTCCACCCATCCCTCCACCCACCATCCCCACAGTGCTTTTGCTTCTTTGGTTCACCAAAAGTGCCTCCCGAGAATAGCGGTCCATGCGGGACCGCAAAGTGGGCTTCAGGCGGGGCAGTGCCAAAGTTAAGTCCATGCCCTTGGGACCTGCAAGGGGCTTTGGGTCATGGGTAGCGAGAGTGCAAAGTCCAGGGAAAGTGGGGACCAACTTAGCCCCTGGACCCTTGTGATTTTTTGTGGACTCTTGAGGACACCTGTAACCTTTTTATACCAAGGTCCTCGGTCGTTGTCACTGCAACCTCTCCTTCTCTGTGCTCTTTCTAAGTCACCTACCCAATCATTTACCTTGTCTTTCTCTAGTCCTAACCTCACCCACCTCCCGCCGCCCCGTGTCAAGCCTCTCCTTCCTCATTCACCATCCCGTACCTGCCTAAACTCCCCTCATTTCCCCCTAGTCCCTCCGCACGCCCCCCCCAATCTGGTGTTTACATTTCCCTGCCCCCACCCCTTTCACGCCCACCTCCCTCACCCTCGAGTCCCCTTCGAGTCCCTCTACCCTACCCCCCACCTCCACCCCGCGCCCAGTCCCTTTGGGCTCTTCCCCCCTTCCATCTTTGAGCCCTGCGGGCGAAGGCTACCGTCTGGTCCGGGTAACTTGATGCCCGTGACAGTTGGCAGCTGCAGCCGCTTCGGCAGAGAAAAGCGGCAGCCGGGCCAGGAGCGACAGGTGTTGGCCGCGCCTTTGTCTCGCTGGCTTTGTCCCGCAGGCAGCGACAGGCACGCCTGTATCAGCCAGACGCCCAAGCCCCGCGTCGTCGGCGGTCCATCTGCCGGCCTTGCCTCGCCGCGGGAGGGGGGTGATGGAGTGCGAGGGCGGCGAGACCGCGCCCCCAGAGAGCGCCCTATGAACCTCTGGCTCTGCTCCATTGTTCTTGGTTTCTGCTGCTGCTTCAGAGCTGGGACCCCGGGCCGGCTCCCACCGGTCTTTAGGTACTCCATCCTCAGGTCTGGGCACTACCAAGCCTCTTGGGTGCCTCTTCATCATTCAGGCTTCATCAGCCTGGCAGGGAGGCCTCCGAGGGAGGAGAAAACCAGGCAGGAACTGGAGCTGCTGGGCAGGGAAACCCCCTACCCCCCTAAAGATGTGTCTGGCAGATCCTTGTGGTTCCACTACTGAGGGTCCTCCAAAGGCATCAGGTAGGACAAGCTGGGTGAGAGGTTAGAAGTTTGAAGGTGTCCAGAGTCACCTGACTATCGACCCACTCCTGCTCTCTCTCACTTTTACCTCTGCATTGTTCCTCTGTGTTGGGAGTCCTGATGCCCCCCCCCCCCCCCCCCCGCCTATTACCACTCATCTGGGTATTCCCAACATACTAGAAAGCTTGGTTCTCTTCCACTACCCTCCTGGGACTGCTGAGGGTCCTCCATTTCTGGTGCTAAGTCTCCTACGTGGGAATGATCCCAACAGAGCCATCATAACTGGTTTGTGACTTCACTGTTTAGCTATTACCTTTCAGTAAAGGAAGTTCTAAAATGATTACTTTAAAGTTTCTATTACTTTGAGGTAGGCAAGTAACCTTTGGTTGTGTGTGTGTGTGTGTGTGTGTGTGTGTGTGTGTGAACTTCCTAGTTCACAACTCTTGTGTACTTCTCCCTGCATCCAAATGAGCAAGGCCAAAAAGACACTCCTATTGGTACAGCATAAGGGCTCTAAGGAAAGAAAGACCCTAAAACACCATTGGGACACTGATGGGTGAGTTAGAAGTGGGGCCAAATAAGGACACAAAACAGACAAACTGCAAGAAGGAATTAAAAGCAACTAAGAATCCCAAGGAAAACAAAGCTACCCAGGAAGAGAAATGTAACCTTAGCCCATTCCTAGGTTTGGGAATCAGTCATGGGCTACAAAGTTTGTCCAAGGCTGTGTGAGTTGGGGTATGTTGCAGAATGCTGTGTAGAACTGGGGGAAAGAAATTAAGTACTTGGTGTATGCCTGGTGTTATTAGGCATTCTTCTTGGAAGGGATGAGGGTAGAGACAGGGCAGGGGATGAGTCAGGAGATGCTTGAGGTTCCACCTGCAAAGCTGGCCTCAATTTATTTCAGTGAGTTCATTGGCTAGGCCACTTTGACTTTTTGTTCCAGAAGCTTGACCACCGCATCTTGATCCCAAGAAACCCTTCTTCTGTCCACCTCCCTCAGCTGGCTTATTACTTCCTGCCATTTGTCCCCTGGATCATACCTTACCTTCAAAGCTTGCCTGCATGCAGACTTCCTGATCATTAGGGCCTTTTGATCCCCCTGGAGTCGGAGACAGAAGCCAGCAGAGGCTGGGCAAGGCCATAGTGGCTGAGGGTGACTAGTTAGCAGCAGAAATAACAGGCTGTAAATCCCCAGAGGGACAAAGGCAGCGGCAGGCCTGCAGACATCCAAGCACTTTGTGGGCAATCTGCCCAGGAGACTCAAGAGGATTTCCTTTTGGTTTGAAAATAAAGGAGAGGGGCTGCCCTTTGGGTTACACAGCAAAGCACGATTAGAGCCCTCCAGGACTCAGTGAAGCAGCCCTAGGTGCCAGAAAAACTGTGTTTTAGACTACTCCATCAGCACTGGAGGTCAGATGTCACGTCCAGAGCTCCTGGAAGCTGAGTCATGTTGTCCCTCTGCTCTGGTCCCTGGGACCCTGGCTTGGAGAAAGTAGTTCTTGTAAGACTGTACACCAGAAGAGCCAGCGTAGGAGGCCTGTGCCTTAGTGATGCCTATGTACGCATCCGAAGGGTGTGTCTTTTCTAACATGGTACCTGTGTGATTTCTCTGCTGTCAGCCCTGAAGCCAGCACATAAGCAACCAGCCTAAGGCAGCGTTAATGGAGAGTGGGTACAGGGTTCACGCTATATGGAGGGTCAGCCCAGTGGATCTGCTAAGCAACCATATGTCAGACATCGAGAGAGAAGGATCAGAGAAGGCCTAGCTGGATCTACATTATGGGAAGTTCCTGAAGGGCTTGAATGGGCCAGGGTGGCTGAGCATGTGAGAGAGACACACAGATAGGAGCTGGGCAACTATGCAAAGAACAGCATGCAAGTGATGAGATTGCTTTGGGGACTGAATTCCTAATGGACCGTTTTTGAAGTTCTTTAAAAATTTTTGTGACAATGTCATTCTATTTGGCTTATTGGTCTATGTTATGTCAGAAATATACACACTGCTAGGCTATAGGTCCATCCATGGTGGACCATATGCTTAATTTGCATGAGGTCCTGGGTGGGTCCCCTTCACCACAACAAACAAAGCATACAATTGAAAATAAAAATATACTTGCTTTATTTAACAATTCTCTAAAAGGCAAAAAAGTCATAAAAAGACACAAGCAGTCACACGAATATATTGCACTGGGTGAAGGTACTGTCGGTCTGCACATAAGTAAACCGCTTGTCCGGCAAGGCTCACAAGTCGTCACGCAAACTCTGAGAGCTTATTTACATTAAAAAGGAGGCTCAGTTTAAAATAGAGAAAGTCTCATGACACCCGTGTAAAGCACACATTCTAAAGAAAACAGGACTGGATGCTTGGCATCTTGTAAACACATTCACAAAAATTATCCTAGGAAGTCAACTTCTGAGCAGTTAACAATCAAGGAATATATATTAAATAATCATAAAATAATGCTGACGGTAAACATTCGAGATAGTAGAGAGAAGGTTTTGGCAGTTTTGTGTTTAAGTAACAAGCGTAGGCTTAGACCACCATCTATCTATCTACCCTTAAGATCCGACTGGTGAAGGAGGCAGCTATCTGTAACACCGAATTTCCATTAAAACATGGCTACTACCTTATGGCAGTCAAAGGTGGTGTTGCTTTAATTAAAAAAAAAAAAAAAAGAGTTCTTGTTTTTATGAAAAATAGGGTTAACATTCAGGCATCGGATGGCTTTACTCTGAAAACCAACTGCAGTAAAACACCTTTCTAGTAGCCACTTCAGACACAAGAAACTGCTTTTTCTGTTGCAGACAATGATTCCTCACTGGTGGTTTCTCATTCACACCAGGGGTCCCCAGTAAGTGTGTCAGATAATCTTTGGATGTCTGGTGCAGCATAGTGTTCTGTAGAACTAGGCAGAGAGGTTCCCTTCTCTCCAAAAGGTTCCAGTGATCCAAGAGCCAGCAGCATAGACAGATGTGGTAACAGACCCGAAGCCACAGAAGCGAGGGCACCAGCCGGCAGAATAGTGGGGATGTTGAGCAACTTGCAAACGTGGAACACTAAGGGTGGCAGTGTCAGTCACCCCTCTTCCCTGTGTCCAGTGGCTGCTCTCTGCTAGGGCCTGATGTCTCAGAGATTCCAACCAAGAACATATATGACCATGTCCCCACAGCAGCAAAGCCTGGTTCACAGATGCTACCATGCGGATGGGGTGACATGACTGATACCAAACCTCTCTGAAAACTGGCCACAATGGTCTAAGGATGCAAGGATGGCATGGAAATGTGCAGTGTGGGGGTGCTAGTCTGATGGCATTGGTCACAGTAACCACTAAGCTCCATTAGTCCAGGGCAGGCATTTCAACTTTGTTTACGAACAGAAGCACGTCAGACTGGAATGTTGGCCACTACAGGACCTGAAGCCAAAGCTGCCACACCATGCTCGAAACCATATGAAGGAACACACTGAGGGGATGCCAGCAGAGACGTTCTCTCCACTGCTAGGTGAACAAACACTCAGCAGGACTGCATGATAATTTAGATTAAAAAGCAGCCCTCCATTTGATGCAATCACACTGTGGGAAAGTTCTAGAAAGCTGGGCCCTTGGCTGAGTGTCTCATATGACTTCCCTGCTATGTGTCACAGCATGGTGTGATGTTTCAGTATAACCCATAGGGGCCAGTGGACATTGGTACACTGGAAAGGGGTCTCACTGAGGCCAAGCGACTTCTGAGGGCCTTGAGGCAAACTCCGTGACACACAGATCGTCTCCCCTAAATTCAAAGACAAGTTCAATGACAAATCTCACCCCATCCCCCAAATTCCGTATTTACATTTCAATACAAAAACGTATTTCTTTCTAAACCTCCCCACAGTTTTGTCACGCCTTTGGAAAACTATGGTGGTTTGTTTTTTTTTTTTTTTTCTAAAACAAAAAAAGCAATGTCCGTATGTGTCCATTTCATTAGAAACAATGAGAAGCTCTCCCATCTCTTCCAAGCACCATCTAATGTAGATCGCTGGCTGGGGGACAGGGTTACGTCTGAGCCTCCTTCCTGGGACTTGTCAGCTGTTCACTTTCCTCCTCTTTGGCTTCTGAGGTATCAGTGAGTCCCAAGGGAGGGCTGTCTTCCTCATATGGTAGGCAAATGTTGCCCTCCTCACTTTCACAGTAAATACACTCCTTCAAAGGAAAAAGGTGGCACCAGTAAAAAGCAAGCAGTTGGAGCTTTGCTGTCAACCACACTTAGCAGGGTGGGGTGGAGCTTTAGCCATGCACCTGGAGGTTGCTGGCCATAGGGGCACTCCCTGCTCCAGGGAGCTGGCTCCTCTTCCTGAGTCCTTTACCATAATTTCCATGGAAAGTTCTCCCTGGCGTGTGCGCAAGTGGAAGAGGGTGTGTGAAGGTGAAGGACAGCTGAGGGTGGCCAAATGACCACAAAGTCTTTGTCAAGACCACCCCTCCCTTTAACAGGTAGAACCCACTTCTCTCTCCTCAAGGGTACTCAGGCTTGGGATGTGTCTGACCCGGGATTGGTTGGGTCGTAGGGGCATGTCAGGTCCCCGTCCTTCCACAATGAGAGATGGGGGCCTGCTGCAGCCAGCACCAATAGGCCTGTAAGGAGGCCTCTCAAGAGGCAGATCCCCTGCCTTCAGTTTACAGCAGCCCCAGCCAAACTTTGCCTTCAACTTCGCAAACTGTGCAAGTGGCTGATGCTCGTGATCCCAGCACTTGGGAAGCTGAGGCAGGAGGACTGCCTTGAGTTCCAGGCCAGCTAGGCTACAGTGTGAGAGTCTGTCTTCAAAGAGCTAGAGAGGTAACTCAGTTGGTAAAATGCTTGCCTTGCAAGCCTCAGGATTCGAGTTTATTCCCTAGAATCCATGTAAAAGGAAGCTGGATATAGTGGTGTGAGCTTATAAACCCAGTGCCAGGGAGCTGCTCGATCCAGAAGAGCCAAGAGAGAACAGGGAAATAGGAGGCGAAGACAGGAGTGGGTGGATCTGCATGGCTGTGAGGCCATTTATTCTGGCTAAGGATGGGCACTGTTAGAAGGGATTCACATGGAGAGGTCTTTGCCACTGCTCTTGCTGTGAAGAGACACCACGACCCAGGCAACTCCTACTAAAGAAAGTGTGTAATTGGCAGGGAGCATGGAGGCAGGCAGACATGGTGCCGGAGAAGTAGCTGAGGGCTGCACTGATCTGAAGGTCAAGAGAGCCGGGACTGGGTCGGGCACCGGCTTTTTGAAATCTCAAAGTCTACTCCCAGCAACACATTTCCTCCAACAAGACCACAGCGACTCCAACAAGGTCACACTTCCTAATCCTTCTCAAATGGTGTCACTCCCTAGCGGCTAAGCATTCAAATAAATACATGAGACTTATGGGGGCCATTCTCATTCAAACCTCCCCAAAGATATAATGGGATCTGGCTCTGGAAGTACAGGGTGGAGGGCAGAGAGCACAATGTGAGGTTACTCTGCCATGCAGGACATGTGATGGGTGGAGACATGGTGGATGCGATGAAAAGCAGCTTCTGTCTACCTTTGAAAGTGGAGTGGTGTCATCTGCTAATGACCAGATGGGGTAGGAGGGACGCATGTCTCCTCACTTCCCCACAGCCGGGGAAGGTGGGCCTCCATCCAGTGAGCTGGGAAGGGTCGGGATACAGCTGGTGCTCCCTAGCTGTAGTGAGTGGTGAGGGGAGGCCTACACCAAGCTGAGCACTGGGAACCCGGAGGCCAGAGGGGATTCCTGGTGCCCAGGAACCAGAGCTGTTAGCATCTGTAGACCTGGAGTCACAACCTGGAGGTGAAGGTGGCTGCTGCTCTCATACCATTGAACTACAGTGGGGACACTTTACCTGAGAGTCAGCAGATGGCAGCATTGGCCTGGGGAGCACTTAGGGTTCTGGTATCGAAGGACCAGGGGCCATGGCAAGAAGAGAAAGATGGGCAGAGATGTTTGTGTTGCTAAATAGAAATCAGAACGGTAGAAAGGGAAGCCATTCCCTTCAGCGAGCTGTTCAGGCTAGCCCCTTTCAATCACACATAAGAGTCCTAGAACTTTTTCTTTCTTTCCATTCGTTCGTTCGTTCCTTCCTTCTTTTTTTCCCCAAACACTGGCTATAGTTGTGTTCTATCGCATTTGATTTTTTTAAATCAATTTCAAATTTAGATGAGTGATATGTACAGATAAACCAAGAAGACAGCTCAGGGGTCCTCTTCAGTGAACCTCTGTTGTTTGTTTCTTGAGACAAGGTCTTGCTATGTCTCATAAGCCAGCCTTTGCTTTTCCAGTCTCCTGCCTCAATTTCTCAAGTGCTGGGATGACAGGTGTGTGCTACCATGCTTATCCCAGGCTGTAATTGTTGAGTACTGTGTGAGACGGAAGGTTCTACAAACTTACTGTCACATCGATGGCTGTGGGCAGACCCCCAGTCTGGACCCACGGATGAACCTCTCGAAGCTCTCGCCTCTGGCCCTCTGTGAACCGGGGCTGGGACCTCTGCAACAGCTTCAGTTTCTCCCGGTCCTCTTTTAAGACTGACTGGAGATCCCTTTATGGGGAGTGAAGTGTAAGTGAGCGCCACAGGCTGAAGGGACAGTATACTCATTTCCTGTCAAATTTTCCAATGTCGTTAATGTAACAGTAGAGGATTATGGGTGAGAGAAATCATTTTGTTTAAGGTAACTTGATCTCGCTAGTAAGTATTCTTTAGTCTTTCTCTTAATAATAACCGAGGTCACAATTTCAGTTGTTCTTGAAACTAGTTGAGAGCCTGGCTCCTTCAGGTGCAGTCTGTAGCCCTGGGCTGGCTCTCATTGTGTGGTCAGTCTAGGAGATTTAACATCCAGATTCTGGGACACTGCTGTCTCCTTCCTGGGCCAACACTGGCCTGGACCACAGCTGTCTCCAACCTGAGGCCTGAGGATCCCACCAGTATCCCTGTTTTACTGACCCAGGGTCTGCTGCCTTTAGGAACCTCAGGGTTTCCCTTCCTTTCTCTTAGTCCCATGTCAGGGACTGTTCTGCAAAGGCAGTGAGCTCACCAGCTTCACAGGGAAGCCTGACCTGCACTCAGAACCTGTGCAGGCCCAGAATTACCATAGACATGGGCTTATCATCCACCTTGACCTTTGGTTTCTTTGGTTTCAACTGAGACAGACACATCCCATTTACCATGAAGGTGGGTGAGGAAACACAGCTTAAGGAGCAAACCTGCCCAGTGTGCTGTGGGCAGGATGTTGGTCTCCAGGGTTCTAACTGCCCCAAGGCAACAAGTGCAGGTCAAGCGGGGCCATCATGGAGAAGCCTGCTTTCTCTCTACTGCTTCTGCCAAGGCTAGACAGTGTTCCACAGGACAACCTGCATGCTCGGATGACCTTGGTGGTGGAAACTCCTACCCAGCCCTCTGGGCTTCCCAGAAGGTGCAACAGTTACCGGGAGGGTAGCTGGTATGTCATCATGATGCTGTCATCTGTGTTGGCCATCAGCAGCCAGATGGGGTCCTGCAAGACGTACTTAATGAACTGCTCACTTTCCTCCGTGTCTGTGATCATTTTGGCTTTGTGATTATTCTCTGAAGAGTCAATGCTTCCAAAGTATTTGCTGGTGTGACTTGTATCACTACTGCCTTCAAAGACATGACATGCACATCGTTATAACCTTGAGATAAGAAAGCAACTCCTGCGAAATGCGCTTATGTGAAGCCATGGCAGCTCTGGAGAGCAGGGTTCCTTGGATAAAGGCAGCCTGTGCTGGCCCACCTTCCCTGTCGCTTCCCAATCTTAACAGTCTGAGTGACTGGAACACAGGATACCTGCCAGCACCGGGGAGGTGACTCTCACCCGGGGCAAAGCTGAGCTCAGGCAAGGCCTTGTCTTAGAGCCCTAACCTTTGTCCCAAATTCCCACTGTCCGTGGACTCTGGAAACAGATCTCTCTTTAGACTCACAGAAGAGCCCTAAGAGGGAAGCTGCTGGCCTATTCATGCCCAGCTGCTGCCCCTGGGCAGAAAAGCCTGTGAGCAGGTTAGGGAAGCTCACTTTAGGGCAGAAAAATCATCAGGATTTTGAGGGTAGCCACATGCAGTTTGCCCCTGGAGGTTTGAGGGCACAGGTGAATGATCCTTGCAGTAGAAGTTGGTTAGTTGTGTTTGTACATGTGTATCCAACTCAGGAGGTTGAACCGATACTCAGGGAACCCAAGTGGTCCAACAAGGGCTGGCACAGATAGAATGTCTTCACTGACACAGAAATTGGAAGCTAACAGAGAGAACCCTGAATTCTGATGGCTAGGGCCTGCCTGCTGTGCAGAATGACCAGGGACAGAACATTCTAGACACAACCCAAATCCTAACACACATCTGTGCCCTCAGCACAAACATACCTGCCCCACTTCGGGATGCATCGCAGCCTAGCGAGCTGGAGCCCAGAGAGTCTGAAGTGGCAGAGGCCCCGCTCCTAGACAGCGCTGACCCCGTGGCTGAGCAGAGGTCCTCCCCCAGCAGGAGGTTGAGCAGGTCACTGGATGTGGAAATGGCATCACTGTTCTGGGTGTCGGAGGGCTCGTTGCACTTTAGGGACAGGAAAAAGACACTGATGACCAATCATAGGGGCTTAGGGACAATATAGCACACAGCACACAATATGGCAGAGTGGAGCCAAGGGCATGTGCTGGGTGGCTTTTGTGCCAAGATCACCCAGGGAACAATAGTTTTCCCTTTGCCTATCAGGCGAGCAGATTTTGTACTTATTCAAATGTGGGGAGAGAACCCTGGTACTCTATGAATACAACCCAATAAAATGTGACTTTGAGAGAGTCACAGCAGACAGCAGGGCTTGCATTCAGTGGAGATGTGCCATGATTTCCCCCCTCCTCCTGGGTAGCGAGTCACCCCAGTGGGTCCTATGCCTTAGAGGGAAGACAGGCTCTGGGAGAGTCACTGCCCACATATATGGCCCCACTTTCTGAACAGCAGAAGCAACACCTTGCAAAGGCAGCCATCCCCTGAAATCTTCTGACACACAGTGTATGGAGTGACTCAGGCTGCTGCTACTACATAGCTAGCTCTTTTGGAAACCACTAACTGGAAAAGAGCCCTCACCACACCAGGGAATACTGGCTTCTGAGCCCAAAGCAGAACCTCCCCCCCCCCCCATCCTTGTGAGCCCCAGGGACCTGTACTCCACCAGGCAGGCTCCTGACCACTGCAAGCTGGAGCCTGCCCTTTTCCTCCATGCTGGGCTTCATGAAACTTTGAGGCCTGGCCACATAAGAGCATGCTGTAATCCCAGCACTGAGAGCAGAGGCAAACAGATCTCTGAGTTGGAGGCCAACCTGGTCTATATAGCAAGTTCCAGGCCAGCCAGGAATAGAGTAAACTGTCTCAAGAGACAGAAAAAAAAAAAAAAAAGACAGTTTTAAGACTCATTAGAAGCCTGGTGGTAGCTCACACCTTTAATCCTAGCACTCAGGAGGCTGAGGTAGGCTGATCTCTGTGAGTTCAAGGCCAGCCTGGTCTACAGAGTGAGTTCCAGGATAGGCTCCAAAGCTAGACAGAGAAACCCTGTCTCAAACAAAACAAAACAAAACAAAACAAAAAACCCAAAACCAACCAACCAAACAAACAAAAAACCAGACCCATTAGAAATGTGAGGCTTACAAATGCTCCCCAAAGACACACACTCTTCCTGGTCCCCTCATCCACATTATCTGTCATCCTCATGTACTTCCTACTGAGCTCTAAAAAATGTTTCATGGGAGGATCTCAAACCCACAAATCATACGTTCTGGAAAAAAAAACTACAGCCTAGATCCAGGCCTCTAGACTGGCAGGAAGCACCCAATCCAGAACCGTCTCTCACATGAGGGTATGCGCTGACCACCGTGTGGTGTAGCCTACTTCCTGAAAGGACAGAATCCTTACTGTTGGAGGTACCTTTGGCTGCCGATCCCGAGGAGTGCCAACTGTGCAATCCAGACCAGAAGCTGTCGTCCCTGCGGTCCCCAAGGTCCCCGGGGCTCCGATGCTGCTCTCTGGTGCCTCCTCTAGCTGAAGCAGGTTAAGCTGAAGGGGACTGCTGCCTCGGGACTGGAAGAGCGGTGGGGAGGCCCTGCCTGAGGCCACTGTGCCTGCCGGAGGGGTGACTGGACAAGTGCATGGCTGTCTTAGCACCGAGGTCCGACCGGGGAACTCAGCCTGGGAGGCAGGAGTTATTTCAGAGGCAAGGGTGGGGTGGGCTGGGAAGGGAGGCTGGCCGGGGAAGAAGGCCTGAGGCAGGGTTGGGGTTGCTGGTGGGAAGGGGTAGCTGGGTAGCATGAAGGCCATGACTGGAGCCAAGGGGGCAGCAAACGGCAGGGGCTGCACTGAAAATTCAGGGTGGGTGCCCATAGGCACAACAGGCATGGTGAAGCCGGAGTGGGCAGCTGCAGGTGGCGCCACCACAGTCCCTGGTGTGGAAACCATTCCAGGTGCCTGGAACACAGGCACAGGGTAAGCTGGCACTGAGGCGGGGAAGGGCGCAGAGGGGCAGCTGGACTGTGATGTGTCAGAGGGCGACCAGGCTGTGGCATTCAAGCCCACGAGGGGAGGACGGTGGGACACAGGTCCTCCAGACCCTGTGCTCTCAGAAGAGTCCTGAGTCTTCACACGCTTTGACTTCAGTTTTCTGTTCTTGCCAGTTTTTTTCCAAGATGACTCTATTCCGGAAGTATTTCTTAGTCCTGGGGTAGCTAAATGTGGAAAAACGAGAGTGAAAATTGAAAAGTAGCTTGCAAGCCCTACCGTGTCAGCTCACAGCGAGTGTAAATGCCAGACACTTGATGGCAACTCTCAATTCCACAGCCCTGGAAGCAACACTTGGGTTTTCTCAATCCATAGCCGGTGAGAGGAACTGAAGTTAAATGGTAGGTTTTTCATAAACCAAATTCCATCAACTTGAAGGTGCAACTTTAGTTACAAGGCCATATTCTTCTCCTCAAAGCTCCATGTCCTCTCTCATGTAAGTACCTTAAAGATCCTGTGTCTGTGGAGAAGTCAAGTTGAGATGGACCTGGAAACTTCCTTCCTGCTGCCTAGTTTTCACAGTACTAGAAGGTGCTATTAGGCTGTTGAGGTAGAAAGTTATCAACAGTCTAATCTATCCATGAACTACAATAATCACAAGTGTTGCAAGAAATGCCCTTTGTGCAACACTGGCATGAATGTTACGGGGGTAACCAACACCACTTCCTGATTCGATTTAAGGTTCCATCCACAGGAGGAAAAGCATGCCTGATACTGCAAGTCTAGCCAAGAACCCATGTCCGTGAGACCATAGGTCTCAGGAGTAAACCTACTATTATTGTCTTGGTAATTACACATAGTAGCAAACTGACCTCCAAATTCGTAACTCTGTACCCACAGACCTCATCAGAAGTTTCTCTGCCTAGTACTTGGCTGTTAACACAGAAACTCACTACTAAGTGTCAGTGCAGTGTTCAGTCACAGATGGGGCGTCTACATGAACCTTACCCCAAGGCTCAGGGAACAACATCAAAGAGGGCGAGGGGAAGACTGTGAGAGCCAGAAGGTGGGCAGGACTGGACCAAAACAGGTCTTCTGGAAATGTCAGGACCACTATACTCAAGAACTTACAGCACCTGTGCTTGACTGTACAAGGTCAATTCAGTCAACATTCTATCATGGAGGAGGAGTTTGTGGGCCTCCACCCCAGCTGAGGAGCTATGGACAGCTGATTGCTTCTGGGGAGGGAGAGCATGCTTTCTTTAAGGGTGTGACCCACAGCAGGCCACCACTCTCACACAGATGGCCCCAAATCTAGGAGTATGTGAGTAGTAAAAACTGGACTCGAGGAGGACACAAAGGGTGTGTGCAGGGTGGTGGGGGTGGATCTGGGGGTGGATAGGAGGAGGGGGGTGACTATAAACAAAATATATCTTATGGAATTCTCGAAAAATTAGTAATTAAAACCAAAAGATTCTTTGTCAAAAAAACAAAAAACCCCAAACTCACCATTCTCTGCCAGTCCCTGATATTTAGGAAAACAAAACAAAACAAAACATATATTGGTGTATGGACCCTAAGTGACAGAATGGCCGGCTTCACTTAACCTACCACTACTGTTCCCTAAAGAGATGCTGCATGTCCACCCAGACAGCAGGGGGTGGCTCGAGCCTGGGTCTAGAACACCCCTGAAAGTCCACGGTGAAGGCTCAGTTGCTGGCCCTGGAGGACGGAGGGAGGGAGGTAGAGGCTCTAGAAGGTAGAGCCTAGTTGGGAGGAGCTAGGCTACTGGGGCATGCCCTAAGACACTGGACCCACTTCCTGGCCTCTGTGAGGTGGGCAGCTCTTCAGTCACTGTCTCCTGCCATGGAGGGCTGCTTTGTACCAACGGGTGGCAACCATGGCTGCAAACCTTTGGAACTGTGAGCCGAACAAACATTTTCTCCCTATAAATTGGTCCTCTTGCATATTTTGTTAGTGATGAAAAGCTGACCAACAGTCACATATGCCCAGGAACACATTCCTCCTCACCAGTGACAGGATGCCGCCGCCGAGGCTTTCTGTAGTGAGGATGAGGGATGCGACTGTGACGGGAGGACCTTTGCGTATTCCCAGTGCCTTCCTTGTGGGGTGGCCCAGGAACCTGTTTTCTTCCCACTTCAGCAGAATAACAGGCCTAAGGCAATAGGTAGTGCGGAGGGGGCGGCATCTGTGAGCTGTGACAAGGGGGCCCCACACCTTTACTGCATGTTGAGACAAACAGCACAGTCTAAGCACACTGGCCTGCAAGGAAAGGCTTTGCCACTCTGTCTCTACTCTTGTTTTTCCTACTGGAGATTTTTCCCTCAGAGAGGATAGTGGCTAAAATGCTAAGATCCAGTGATGCCAGGACGTCTTGGAATGTTGGGCGATTCATGTATTGTACAAACTACCGTGCCTAGGGGTGTGTGGGATCTGGAACTATGTACACTTGGGGCTGCCCAGGACTGGGGTGGGCTGCTTTCATTTTCACTGAAGTTGTGATTGTGGCAATACTGTGAGGTAGAGAATGAGCGTGAGAATGAAATGTGGAGAAGCCAACCCTGGCTGGGTATGTCACTCAGAGACAGGGCAGCATGCTCACTGAAGACCCCCATTCAATCCCTACCTCCAAAAGAAAGTAAAAAACAGAAGAAAAGACATGATCTTTAAGAGATGTCCTCGGTTCCCTGCAGTGTGTCTATGGGGTTGGCCCTGCTGGTGTCTCCTGGGCTCACTAACTGCGATCCTGGACCAGAGCTTCAGAACCAAGAAAAGACCAGGTGTCTTCAGCCAGTGCAGCCCCAGCCTCTGGCGCTATAAACAGGTGGTCAGGCACAGGAGCCAGGTGGCCTAAGCCTGATGTCATCATGAATGTGTGGATAGGGGACAAGACTCAAGAATCACGCTTCCGGAACAGAAAACCCCCATGTCATAGGGATCTTAATTCATTCCTGGACATAACCACCCAGGGATTAGGGGCCTGAAGAACATTTTTATGCTAACAGCTTTGGCTGAGGTTAGCTGCCCACAGGGCAGCCCCAGGCCAGGAGTCTACTGGAAGGGGACAGTCATTCCTCCATTCCCAGGAGCTGCATGCTAAAGGTTCCACAGCACCATGCTTATTCTTTGCAGGCTGAACTTAACTTTTTACCCCAGGGTGTGGACAAAAGCCCCAACCCACAATTTGCTGAAGCTAGCCTAGGGCCCTGCAACTGTCCACAGTATCGTTCCCTTGGGAACATGAAGCTGCATCTCTGAAAGTGTTTCCAGACTGCATCACCAGCAAAGTGGTAGTGGCTACCCCACATGAACACCTCCGACCCGGGCACAGTTCAGTATGAAGCCAGCACTGGATGCAGTCCTCTCAAAAACCGTGTCGTGCCAGGCAAGGAGGCCCACACCTGTAACCACAGCACTAGGGAGACTGAGGCAAGAGGACTATTGTAACAGGACAGCATGACTCTTTCTTTAAAAAGAGCTTAAAAAGCGCACACTCAGTTCAGGCCAGCACTCACCTCGCTCACTCGCCTGGGCTCGGGATCTCTCCTGGAGATAGTTCTGGCAGTGAGCCTGCAATGCCCCGAGCCTGCTCACCTCCCTGAACCTCTGCAGGAAGCCCTGCTCCTCTCTCTGTGTATGTGCAGCCAGAACTTCTTTGGTGAGGCCCAGCTTCTGCAGAGGCCCCTTTTCCTGGCTGAGGCCACCAGCTGTGCCATCCAGGGACTCAGGCCCGCTGGCCACATCTTCTACTGTCTCTGCAAAAAAGAAGCAGGCTCTGGTTGGCTTGCGCTTTATCAGTGCAACCTACGGTACAGCCCACTCACACCCAGCTGATTCATGATGCCCACAGGTGGGGGCAACATTCCCCATGCCTACTGCAGCATCCCAAGGGAGTCCCAGCAACAGGCAGAAAGCAGCAAGCAGAGACCTGATGATCCACTGGGCCAGGCATCAGGCCTATGAACAACAAGAAACTGGGAGCTGTGGACTTCCACTCTGGGCCTGAAGACATTCCAAAACTGCCCTCAGCTTTGGTACACAGGGGACAGGGTCAAAGTCCTACATCTTCCAAGACTCAGGACCCTGTACGGTGGCCGCTGTGACTATGTGGCTTATCAGGTACCTGTATGTATGTATGAGTGTGTGTGTGTGTGTGTGTGTGTGTGTGTGTGTGCTCACCTACACACACTACAAGTATATACGTATTCATCTGTACACATGCAGGTGAGGGGCCAGAGATCCACACTGGGTGTCTTTCTTGATTGCCCTCTACCTTAGTTTTTGAGATTCAGTCTTTCATGTAACCTGGAACTTGCCAACTTAGTTCAACTAACTAGTGAGCCCCAGGGACCCCCCCTCTGCCTCCCCAGTGCTAGAATTACCGGTGAAGGCCACTGTGCCTGGGTTTTATGTGGGTACCAAGAACTCAGGCCCTCATGCCCGCTCAGCAGGCACAGTACCAACTGACCCATCTCCCCAGCCTCACAGACTCAGTTTATTAAGAGAACTGAGCCATGATCAGTCTTCTTGCAATATGTTCTGGTGCACCTTTTGCTAATGGGCAAGGCTGGACAGAGAAGAAGCCCCAAGCCTAGTTAAAGAAATGGGGCCTGTACCTGAGGGACACACACTAGAGCAGACAACTGCCACCAGGTGGCACCAGAGCACAGCAAGGACTTGGGCCCTAGCCGGCTACATCTGGTTTCTGAATTTTAAGTACCTAAATAGCTTTTACAGGACTTCTTCTGGTAAGTTTGAATAAACATAAAAATTCAAAGTGGCAGCTAAAATTCGAATTTTTAAGTCAAATTTTCTGTGTGTTATATGCATATGGTGTGTGTGTGTGTGTGTGTGTGTGTGTGTGTGTGTGTGTGTGGGTCTGTCTGTGTGTTTCTGTGTGTATCTGGGTGAGTAAGCCAGAAGGGGGTGTCAGGTGTTCTGCTCTATTACTTTCTATTCCTCTGAGAGACAAGGTTGCTTGCTGCCCCTGGAGCTAGGCTGGTGAGCCTGGAGCTAGGCCGGCAAGCTCCAGTAATCCTCTCGTCTCAGCCCTCAAAAGCTCTGGAGTTACAGGCAACCTCTTGACCATGGCCCACTTTTTATGTGGGTGCTGGGGATGTGAGCCAGATTCTTATGCTTGCACAGCTCTTACCCACTGAACCATCTCCCCAACCTCAACTCAGATTGCTGTTGATGTTCTCAAGGGCCTCTGGCATACCTAACTCTGGCTGTGGTTTTTTGTCGCCCACATGGACGATAGTGCTGCTGTAGCTGCACTGGCTGGTGAGGGACACTACACTCTCCGCCTTGCCTGGCAACGTCAGGGAGCTCAGGTGAGCGCGGACCTCTGTGTGGCTGGTCACCTTCGAGTGCCGAGCTGCCTCTTGAGGAGAGAAAAACAGAAGCAAACACACACAGGATTAAAGTCACTGTCCATTTAAGGAGCTGGAAATAAAGGGGCCGATGGGGTTCATGCTGGCTATACCCTCCCCACAGATGCTTGACACTGGGAGCCGAACAGCCTGTCCTCGGGAGAAGGATGAAGAGGCAATGATGATACAGGAGCAACTTGGACTTCGCACTCAGAACCCAGGACCTGAAGCATCTAGATGGCTGTGGCCATGCTGAGCCAGGGCCCTCTGGTGCATAGCAATGGCTTCTCCAGTAAGCAGGAGATGGAGGTGGGTAATCTGGGCTGGTTGCTCGATTTCACGCATGACCTTCCACTCTCTAACAAATGGGACACCCTATTTTTTCTTTAAATTTTTATTATTGTTGTTGTTGCATGTGAGGACTCATGTCAAAGGCACATGGAGATAACTTTGTCTCCCTTCACCTCTTCAAGGATTCTGGGGATCACATTCAGTATGTCAGGCTTGCACAGCAACCACCTTGACATACTGAGCCATCTTGCCAGCCCTGTTTCTTTTTCTTTTTGAAATCTTTTGAGGCAGTCTGATTTTGTAGCCCAGACTGGCTTCCATCTCAGCATCCTCCTTGGTCTGCTGAGTCCTGAGATTGCAAGCATGTGCCATACATGCAGTGGGGTTCCTTTCTGACCTGGGCCATACATAATTCACTGTGTTTAAAGCAGCCTGAGCTTTCAAATAGCCATGAGGCATGCTGATGTTCACAGGCAGGCGATCCTCTAGGCGGGCTAAGAAGGTACTTGCCCCAGAACTGCAGAGGCAAGCAAATCCAGAGGAGGGAATAGAGCTCAAGGCTGCCCCACCCCCGGCCCCCAGCAGGCTTTCCAGGACCCTGTTCTCAAAGCTTCTTAAGCCTAGACAACACTTGGCCTATAAGAAGGGCACTGACTTTCCAGCTACTTAGGTCATTTAGTGACTTTTCTGGTGTATCTACAATGCATGAAAAATCAATTCAGGAGGGAAGGGGGGGACCAGAGAGGGCTTATGATGGTAATTCTGACTCCCCACAGGAGACAGCCCCAAATGAAAGTAATACCTCCAGAGTGCAGCCCAGGGCTGACTGTGGCCTTCCGGGATGGGATGTTGGCTGGGAACTCACACTTTCTTTTCAGGGTGGCAGCCTCACTGCAGCTCTCCAGGTACCTGGAAGAGGTTTGGAAGGTACCAGGTGGGTGGGAAGGTGTGGGTGGGGATGGCACCAAGGGCAGGGAAGGTCAGAAGTGCCCTGTGTACCTGATGACACTGTCCAGGCAGCTGATCTGCTGGTAGGAGCAGGCAGGCTGGTTCTTATACGCTAGCTCCTCTGGGAAGCCGGCCTTGGGTAAGCTGGCCCCTGAGCTGTCCCTGTCTATAGTAGTGACAGCCTTCACCTGAGCTGGGGGGCTGCTTTGCATTTCTGAAACAAAAAACAAAATTTTTCCATTTAATCCCTTTTATCTGCCAAAAGAAATCACTCCATATTTATAAAGCCTCTTCTTCTGCTCCAAGGCAGGGGTAAGGACTCATAATGTATGGATATGGGCTTGCAGTGACAGTCTGCATCCAGAAGCCCTGCCAGTGTGACAGGAGCCTGGAGTGATCTGTCACCCAGGCAGACCCTGCTTCTCCCTGGGCTTAACAACAGCACATGCCAGGGCAGTTCTCAGAGCTCACAGCTGAGGGGGAATACGATGGATCTTAAATGTGACCAATCAGACCCCAGCTCTCTTTACCTGAGCAGGGCAGGCTAGACTGAACACAGGGTCTTGCACGTGTGGCCCAAGTAATCTGCCATGAACAACTCTGTGGCCCATCCATCAGTAGGTATTTACTGATTTATTTAGAGACAGAGACTCACTATGCAGCCCTGGCTGGCCTGGAACTTGCTATGTAGACAACACTGGCCTTGAACTCACAGAGATCTACCTAGTTCTGCCTCTGGAGTGCTGGGATTAAAGGTGTGAGCCATCACACTTGCTTTTTTTTTTTTTTTCTTTCTTTCTTTCTTTCTTTTTTCTTTTTGAGATAGGGTCTCACTCACTAAGTCACCCAAGAGGCAGGCTGGCCCTAAACTATGGAACCCAGGCTTACCTGGAATTTGTTATCTTTCTGCTTTAATATCTAGGGAAGAAAGGTGGCAACACTCAAACCACTGACCCACCAGGGACAATTTTCAAACATGACCTATGGTGACAATGATTATAAGCACCTGTTGCCCGGGCACCAGGCTGTGGGCTCTGTGCTCACCACTGGAACCACATGCTTGCTGTCCTAAGGGATCCTGATCAATGAGCAGCTACATCTTACTCACCGGTGTATCCCCAGCACCTAGCCCCTTACTGTCACTGTAGGGAGGTCTTGTTTTGAGAAGTGCAGGCACCTGGGCAGTGTGTCCAGCTGTTTGTGTACACAGATGTACATCAGGCGCTAGTTTGTACATGTATGAAATGTGAGCATGCAGTCCCACCCCCCACCCGGGAGCACACTGTGGCCACAGCTCCCAATGCACTCAGTGGGCGGGTCCTGGGGAAAGGAAACAACACTCTCCATGCCCCAGTGGCTTCCTGGACAGGAGGGTCTGCACTCCTTGGATAAACAGTGGAGCAGCCCTTATTTCTTTGCTGAGCAAGAACAAGGAAAGCATACCCAGCAGGTGTACTTTCAGCCCTCAAACAGAGCAATAAGCCAGAACCCTGGGTCCTTCCCTCTGCCATCCACCTTAGACACAAGTAAAGGAACACGGGGTTTCTGTTTTCTTTTTAGCAAGCAGGATAAATGTAGCTTTATTAAGGAAAGGGGGGGGGAAACTCCTGGGAGTAGGGGGTGGGGGGGTGGAGCTAGAGGACATCTTTTTACCTGCAACAAATGTTTCCTTTTGTTCTCCAGACTCATGAGAAAAATGAGTTTTGGTTTGAATCTTGCCACCATTTTTAAAAATTCCCTTGAAGAAAAAACAATAGCGAACACGTTATTCATTCTAGGAGATCTTCTTCTCCCCATCCCCCAGAGTGAGGACAGAACAGCCAACATCAGTTGAGTAGCGTGGAGAATGCTCAGGGGACCTTTTGTGTTTCTGGGGTAGAACCCAGGCAGGGCCCCCGCACACGCTGGACACGTGCTCACCATGGAGGTACTCACTACACTCCAAGCCAGCCTGGGAAATCCTGAAGGAACCAGATGGAGCTGGCTACAGCGCTCTTGATTGATTCACAAGGGTAACGGAGAGCAAAGGAAATGCCAACACCTCTTCACCACCCTTCACTTAAGTTTTTGTTTCCCCTGCTCTGCCCACTGAAGTAATTTCCCTTTATATGTTTAACTATAGGGTATCTGATTCAACTTGAAATATGAAGCAAATCTCAGGGGAACTGAGTCAGAGAGGAGCAGGCAACAGAGCCACTGGCTTTAGCCACTGCCTGGCTATTTCCCATCATGCTTTCTAACTTAGGGCCTGCATTCTCAGGGGGAAGAACAGAGAGGGACGTACGGATCTCTTCCGGTGAGACTCCTCATGGCCGTTGCTGTCGCTGGATGATGTCTGGCTCATGAGGTGTTCGTGGGACCCGTTACTGCCCAGGCTCCCGTAGCCACTGGAACCGCTATGGGGAACCGGCTGGGGGAAGAGCAAACAGATTGCAGTGGACATGGTGGAAAGGTCACCACAAGCAAAGCTCAAACAGTGGTCTAAGCTTTCCCAAGGTCACACAGAGAAAATACGTGGAGGTGAGCTTTAACCCTTCCTTGGTAGGCATTCAGCCACCAAAGAAACCCCATCAAAAAAAGAAAGAGTTCAACCAGCTGATTATTGCATAGCCGAGGTCTTTTGAAGTCTATCAACGTTTTACAAATATAAAACCAATTCACCTACAGCTATACTTTGTAGCCTATAGCCAAGATAGGGAGATCAACTCAGCTGTGGGACTGACTGTGGTTAAACTGCTCATTCAAGGTCAAAACTCACACATGGATGATTGTAAGCCTAGGAAATTTGGAGGCACTTGGTAGCTCTTAGGCCAAGCACATTATCCACACTTGGCCCACCTGGGCCAGCATGTGGGGACAGGCAGGACAGAGCCCTCCTAGTGTGGCACCCACCTGCATTAGCAGCCGGTGGATTTGCTCTGTGAGCTCCTGAACGCTGGGGTGTGGAGTCTTCTCCTCCGGGCACGGGGAGGCCGCAAACACATCCTCATTCAAAGGGCCCCTGCATGATTTCAATTTGTCTCATCAGAAGGGCCAGTTTAGCCTGAATGTGGTACCCACACTGCCCACTCAGGCTGGAATCTCCAATACAACCCCACAGATACCCCCCCCCCCAGCTGCCACACAGCTCTGCTTGGATGAGTTCCTCCCACCTGGGCAGGCCATCCCCTGCCCATCCACAAGGCCAGCATCTCCCACCAGGGAGCTGTCTCCATCTATGTCCCCCGCTGGTGGGAAGTGAGGAAGGCCAGGGTCCCCAAGCCCAGAGTGGAAGGAGCCCTGGGAGCACTCACACCCTGACTTTGTGCCTCCCAATGATGAAAGATATCTTCCTGCTCCAGGGGTTGATGAAGCTAGACCAGCTGCTGTCCAATGTGATGTACTCCCCGTTGCGGGTGCGGAATCGAATGGGAGAATAGTCGAAAGGCTGTCCGCCGGCCTGCAGGACTAGAAGGTGGAAACAGGTCTCAGTGCTGGTGTGTGAGGTAGAAAACAGACACACACACAGGCTGGCTCTCAACTGTGTCTGCTTCAAATCACACCTGGGGTGATTTCCAGCAAAGGCAGCTTCATCACCTATTTCAATCTCTCCACATCTGCAAGGGCTCGGCTTAGAAGGGTCCTGTACAGTCTACTCCCAAGGATGCTCAGAACCTTCCTGCCCCACAGCTCAGCTGGTCTCCCCATGTTTATGGACACCAATTCTATAAATGAATTGCCAAGGACCCTTTATGAGTTTTCTTCTCCCTAGCCCACCTAGGGATAATGACATTGGGTCCCAGCAAGGAGGTGGGACATCCACTAGGGCTCAGCATTCCCAGTGGGTCTGACCCCTTCGAGCACCAGAGCACACAGATCTCAGGGCTTAGAGAAGACGACCTACTTTTCTTGTGGATGGCAAGCATCAAGGGCCGGTCACTGGGGTGGAGCTGCACGAGCACTGGTGTCTCGATCAGGTCCTGAGGTAGATAGCCCAGGAGAGGGACTGCCCTGTAAGGCAAGGGACACAAGGCAGTCAGTGCATGCAATACAGATGTCAGGCAGGGCTGACAGACTCCAAGGGAGGGCCATCTTAGGAGACCTCCTTGTTCAGAGACAGACACAGCTCCAAGTCCCCCAAATGGGACACAGCAGAGGCAGCAAGTCTTTAAGCTTTGCAGCAAGTGAGGACTCCAGTGTCCCTGGGGGTGTGACAGTAAGGAGGCTGTCAGCTACAGCATGCGATCTCCCAAAAGAATACATCATGGCAGCGTGTTAATGTTTCTCTTTCTACTATCTTTCTAATACTGACTGAGTTGGTGTGAGTCTTGGTTGAACAGGTTTTGTCTGAAAGCTGTCTTTTCTAAGTCAGAAGGTGGTCCTTCTGTCGCTTTGACCCCCAGATCAGGCCATTTCCTGTGGCTCCCCTAGGAGTCCCCATGCCTGGCTGGAGCCCTTGCTCAGTGCCTGCCTGTCCTTCTGCAGAGTGGAGGCCCCTTGGTGTTTGGGGCTGGCCCTTGGTCACTGCAGGGGTGGAACCGAAGCAGCCCTCGGAGCATCTGTCTGCATCTAGCTAGGCTAGCAGCCTCTTCTTCCCCAGGCAGCACCCTTGCAGAGGCTCCCTCAGACTCTCCTCAAGCAGAAGGCCCTTCTACACAAATCCTTAGACTAGAACTTTCTTGGGAGAGACTCTGACTGGATCTTCAGTGTCTGAGGCACCCTCTCAGGCCTCCTGTTTCCTTTCCGACAGTGTACAGAATGTCCCTGGCGCCCTCCCAATACAACCCTGGCTGGAGCAACTGGGGGAGGGGAGAGAGAAAGGGGAAAGAGGAAGAGGACAAGAGCCAGGGAGGAGGAGAAGGAAAGGAAAGGAGGGGCAAAGCTAAGGAGGAAGGGCCCTATGCCCAACCCTGACGGCAGGGTTCTGTGAAGGGCCCTTTAGTTCCCACTCAGTAGAGAGCCCTCTGCAGACTGCCTCCCACAGGCACTGGCCTGCCTACTTGCCTCATAGCTGGAGCAAAACATGGGGCAGTTTGCACACAGTCCTTAGACCTAGGCAGCAATGGCAGCCTCTTAGGTGGCTTTGAACACTCAGCCCCGGGTTCTGCATCTGACATTGTCCCTCTGGTACCTGGTGATCTGTAGGACACACCCCATCAACCTATGCCAAGGGCAGCAGGTCTTTGGCTGCCCACAGAGCAGAACCTTCCAGGAGGCAGTGCAGCATGACTCTGAAGAGGGGACCTGTGTCCCTGGCCAGGGAGACAGAGGAGGGAGGAGGACCCAATCCCCCAGATCTGTTCTCTGTCCACTTCCTGTGGGCTTTTTTGAGGACACGTTTCTCCAAAAATACCCCCAACAGCCGGTTGATTTCCACCTCTACATCTGTCTCAGGGCTGGGGGAAGGTGCACAGAGGACCAGAGCCGCTCGCTCACACCAGCTCCAGTACCCTCCGTGGCAGACTCAAGGAGACAAGCCGGGGGAGCTTTAAGAAAAGGTGTGGAGGGACCCTGGAAGACAGGGTCCTGCTGAGGTCGGTCCTGCCAATGGCACCTCCTCCCGACATTAGCCCTTGGCACCCAATCCCGCATGAGACAATTTAAACAGGGTGACAAGGGCAGACTCAACTGAAATAATCCCCAGCTCTCCAGAAAGGCCCATGTATAGCTTTCATTTGTTGTAAAGTGTGGTGTTTGTTTTCTTTCTTTCTTCCTTTTTTTTTTTTAAAGTAGGATATTGAACTCCCAATTGTTCCCATCTCAGCCTCCTAAGAGCTGAGATCAATGTGTGCTACCACAACTGGATCTTATGGACTTTTAGTGCAATTTCAAATGATTTCATTGCCTGTATAGTCATGTGTCTTTTAACAGTGGGACACAGTCTGAAACATGTATCACAGGCAATTGTGTTGTACAAACAGTGACAAGTGAACAAAGTCAAACCCACACAGCACAGGTTGTCACAGATGTGACTGCTGATGTAATCGAGAAACACAGGGTACACACAAGTGTAGGCTGCCGCAGGGCACCAAGGAGGAGGACCTGCCAAAGTGACAAGCTGTAAATACATAGGCCAGAAGCACGGTGCTGTACTGTGCCCCGCTGTGGCTACTACAGAACTATAGGATGAGATTATGATAGCTTTGTTGCTAGGTAACAGAATCATAACAGTGTATGTGGTTTCACTGAAACATGCCTGTGTTGCAGAACAATATAGTCACACATTTTTGTGGATTACCATGTAGGTAAAAATGACACGTGACCTTGTCTTTAGCAACGATGTCAAAAGCAAAAAATTTCAGCCATACATCTTTAATCCCAGCACTTGGGATGTAGAGGTAAAGGCAAGCAGATCTCTGAGTTCGAGGCCAGCCTGGTCTACAGATTGAGTTCCAGGACAATCAGAGTGACACAGAGAAACCCTGTCTTGAAAAAAAAATAAACAAAAAACAAAAATAAAACCCCCAAAAGTTTATTTCTCTCTCTCTAGTTATTGCCAAGACAGCAAAGAGGCACTGAACATCTGTCCCAGGACCTGATGACATGAAGACCACAGTACTGATTCCCAGACAAATGACAGCGGACATGTGTGTGAACTGGGGAACACGCAGGACTCACCTCTCATCCACATCCTGGAACAAGCAGTTTGGTGTATGGGTTGTTGTAAAAATTCTCTTCTCGGGAGGAATCCTAGGGGCTGGGAGAACAGAATGTCCACGTCTAAGAAACGCACAGTTCCATTTTGACTAGGGAAACCACAGGACAGGCAGTAATGGGCAGCCAGCCAGTCTCAACAACAGAGCTGCCATGCTGAAATCAGGGCAGGCCCCAACCAGGTGGCCACCAACAGCCTCTTCAGCCTCCCTGGGGTGGTCAATGGGAGCTGCCATGCTACCTGAGACATGTAGACCCAGGACAGAGGCCCACCTGCATGGTTTATAAGATGAAACTACAATGAGCTGACCTTTAGAAAAATGAGCTACATGTTTGGACTTATAGTTTGCCAGTGCCATTGCCCTGGAGAACTTGACAGTTCCCAGGTGGCCAAAGACAATACATTCTAAATGGGAAGTCATATGTCCAGTATTTTTCTCAATCGGCAAATTCTAAAATCCTTGGTTCTTGAAGGACACTCTTAATTTGGGGTTTCAACTCGTTCTGCCTCTCTACACTCTCAATGAACATTTGGAAGAGAATGTTCTGGATACAGAGATACATCACTGTGTTAGAGAAAAGTCATATTAGAACATGCTGCTATCATTTTTAAGAAGCACTTTGTAAAAAACAAAACAAAACAGAAAACAGACAAAAACCTCACGGCTAATCAAAAGACTGCAATTCCAGGGTGAAGCTACCCCTCGGGGGAATCTAAAGTCCTGGGACTCCTGTGTTAACACACAGAAAACAAATAGCTTCTGGCCCATTGAGTAGGCACAAGGATCATTTGCTTAACAGTTGCTTAACAGGGATCCCAAGAAGGTAATCAGGGTGGCATAGTTTTTGGTCTCCATGGGAGAAAGCCAATTGTCAGGAGGCAGGGTGGCCTAAGGAGCCTTTAGAGGTAGGATAGCTGGATGGACATAGGCTGAGCTGCAGGGAAAGCCAGGCAGAGGGAAGGGCAGGGTGAAGACTCGTGGTCCTCGTGGGAGGAAGGTAGTCCAGATGGAAGTCCGGATGGGCCAAGGCAGGCACAGAGATGGCCCAGCACTGGAAGCTGGAGGAGTAAGTGCGGGTTCTGGGGTACTGAGATGTCTTGGGGTAGAGGCAAGGATGAGGGGCAAAGATGGGAGGGGTATGGGACCTCAAACCTGTCGGAGCTGGTGCCACTTTGTACATCAAAGGCAGCACAGGGAAGGGGGAGCGGACATGGAAATGGACACAGCTGCTCTCAGTGGGTGTGGGGAAAGCCAGATAGCAAAGAAGATTGTGCTGAATTTAGGGAAGATGGAGACTGACAAAATTAGGGAGAGGCCAAGGCAGATGAACAGCTAGGTACTTTTCAGACATCATATATGGACTACAGGCAAGAAGGATGGGCTAACACGGGTGTTCCCTGGTCAGGCATGGTTGTACCTTCATAGCCAGAGTGTACCCTCTCTGCCAGCAGCAGGCAGCAGAGTTGGCTCTCGGTGCCCTGCTGTTCTTGCACTTTGACCAGGTAGGGTGTCATGCGGAAGGGCTGGTAACGAATCTCATTCTCGTGGTGTTTTCCAACACTGTAGAGAGAGGAGTGGGGACAGGAGTGAGGGCCAAGGCTCTGAGCCAGGACAGAGAAAAGCCTTGGCCTGTTAGCTAGCCCCACCCCCGGCTACTTGTTAGGGCTAAGCAATTCTTCCATTTACTGTACCAGATGCCAAGGATGCTGAGCCAGGCCGCCACAGTAAAGCCCTAGTGGGAGCCTAAGCCATGCCAGAGGCAGCACACATCTGTACCCAGAGAAGCTGGCCAGTGCTCACTTTCCCGCCTTCTTCACTAGACCCACATTGAAGGGTTAATAGAGTCCACACAATGGGCAGTAGGAGGCCTTCCAGACTTTCTCTTGAACAATTAGTAGCTAGATTAAGGCAAAGCAACTGCAAAGGAAATTGCTTCTTTAGAGGGATTCTGGGCCCAGCTCTTCCCGGGGGTCATGACTGACATTGTCCTGGATGCTCAGGTGGTCACCAAAGAGCCTGTGAGGAACACTGTGACTCTAACCGGAGAGACTCAGGTACACATTGAGGGCTATACACAGTGCCTGGCCCGTGGCCCTAGGGAATGCCTTCCTCAGCAATAGAGGGCCCGTGTGGGGAACTCTGATTTTTGGGGGGAAGAGCAGGTTGACTTTCCCATTGCCTGTGTAGAAATATTATGTAACTCACTCATGTGGGTTTTCACACAGGCTCTGTAGAGGCTGTGTCTGGTCTCATTCCTGGGGGAGGGGGCACACACACCCAATTCTGGACTGTCTATTGTTTTCTGAGTTAGGAAGATGACACTACACTTACCTGACACGGCAGAAAAAGGATTTCTCCTCCATGCACTCTTGAGTGAAAGAATCTACAAGAAAAACCCAGAGTCATTCACCCAAGTCAACAAACAGGGTCAAACTGGGGTGTACATTATGAGTTGGCCCAAGTACAAAGTGAGTCCTCCACACAGCTTTTATATTCAGTACAGTTCTAATGTCTGCTGTATTCAAAATTACACTGTCCTACAAGTTTACAGCCAGAGCTTTAGAAAATGTCTCTTTTTTTTTTTTTCCTTTTTGAAACAGGGTTGTACTAAGTAACCTTGGTGGGCCTAGAACTTGAGGCAATCCTTCACCCTCTGCCTCTCTAGTGATACAATTACTGGCAAGAGCTAACAAATGTGTTTAAATTTTCTGAATGGTGCATAGTGGTGCTACTAGCACACTGAGAGCTCAGCGCTGGGAGACATACTAGTGTGTGTGTACTCTCACACTAAGCATTTACACTGGCATTTCTGAAATACTTGCTTCTAACAGAAGTGACTCAAGGCATTTGAAAATATCAACACTTGGTAAAATATTAACTTACTTTAACATTTACAATGTCTTGGGAAACGTGAGCTCGCTGGACCTCACGTCAGGGAAGGGGAGCAGGTGTCTCTATAATAGTTTGAAGGTTAAAAAGACCTTAGACTTTATCTTATATACGGTATTTCTTCCATTCAAAAGAAATGAAGAAACATAGGAAATGACCAGTTATAGAAAATGATACAGAGGTTAAAAAGATCTTAGACTTTATCTTACATACAGTATTTCTTCCATTCAAAAGAAATGAGGAAACATAGGAAATGACCAGTTATAGAAAATGATGCAGAGGTTAAAAAGACCTTAGACTTTATCTTACATACAGTATTTCTTCCATTCAAAAGAAATGAAGAAACATGGGGAATGACCAGTTACAGAAAATGATACAGTGTTACCAGCCTGCAAAGGCCCCTTGAGAAGTGGCCAGGCTCTCCTTCCTAGCTTGACCATACTTTGGCTGACCTTTTCTGGAGAGGCAGCCCAGACTACTCCACTGCTGCCCATCCACATGCCAAGCCATTTCCTTTCCACAATCCTGAACCAGCCCCCATAAGTCACACTGCAAACCTTTAAGTCTGCCTCTGGGTTTAGGGAGAAAGCAGACAATCCTCAAGCAAATGGTGAGTCTACCCTAGGCTGCCTACTGACTGAAGGGTCACATTTGTCAAGCTGGTGGAGGACATAATGGCAGTGCCCCCTCTCTGATGCTGACAGAATGGGAAAGGGGTGGGGTGGGGGGAACTGGCGACAGGAGAGGTCCTCCAGCCGGCCAGATTCCAGGTGGTGATGACATGGGCTGAGAAGCCATTATGTAAGCAGAGATCAATGACCTGTCAGAAACAGCAGATAGTTCCCAGTGACAAAGCCAGGACAATCTATCTGAGTTCTGCCCTTGTTCTCTGGCTTCTCAGAAGCTTTTGTCCTTAGTCCAGCTTTGGCTCTGGGCATTAAAAGCCAATAAGGGGCTGTGATCAGCAGAGATGTGTGGACAGACACCAAGAACTCTTGGGCTGGCTAGCCTTGTCTATGATGGTGGAAGACAGCTCCACCCAACCCTCCATCAGTGTCAGGGCTGTGACCCTGAAAGCAATGCAGCTGCCCCCCCACAACCCCCCACACCCCCGCCAGGGTCAGAGTCTGCAGAGTCTGCATACTAACTTGGTAAAACAGAACAAAGATTTGCAAAGTTCAACCACAAGAGGCCTGCATCCAGAAGGGCAGCAGGGGCTGCCAGTGCAGTGGCACCTAATGGTCCCAGTAATCCAGTCCGAAGAGAATAAAAGCACACCTGCCAATCACTCCGAGTGACTCAGACACCCCTTACAGACCAGTCATTCAGCGTTCCACAAGTGAGCCTAAAGTTCAGCATGAGTTTGAGAGGAACAGCCCACATCTAGGCCACAGTTGGTCCATCTGGCTTGCCATAGCTCACACTCTTCTCACAATGCAAACTATAATTAATTCCATCCCACAGTCTCTAGTGCCAACCTGAAAGTTCAAAGTCCGACTGTGAGCTCAAACCAACCGTCTGCTTCGAGGCAAGAGGGTGTGGGGTAGGTGAGCTGTCCCAGAGGAAGGCAGGCCAGAAGGAAGGGTGACAGGCCTCCGGTCCACAGACCTTCTCCTAAAGCTATAGGACCATCATGTTACCCCAGGGACACCTCCTGCACACCTGCACACCCATAGCACCAAGCAGCCCTGCCCCATGGCTTGCTGGGCTCAGTTCAGCTTTGGCCATTAGAGTTGACTATGGTTTTCCTGGGATATGTGGCTTGCCTCTGGTAGCTCTGCTGCCTTGGCTTCCCAAGGTGGCACCCACTGGCAGCACAGTCTTGGTGACATTCTCTGAGGTGGCTCTGCCCTGTGGCTGAGGAAGCTACGCCTCAGAAACAGCCTCACAAGGGTGCTGCCAAGGCTCATGGCTTACACGCCCTGGACTGCTCCTGCAGCACTGGGGCCATAGCCAGGGCTAGAGAGGGCCATGTGTGGATAGATGCATCCTCGAAGATCTCTGATGTTCCTTCACGGTTTTCCATGTGGTGAGGAGGTCTTCACTGCTGTTCATTTCCTACCCATGGGATCCTTTTGCAATCTGCATGACTGCACCCCTGCATTCCTTTCCACTCTGCATGTGGCCGACTGCAATAACTCCCCAGGACTAGCCATTCCCTCAACATTTCCATCAGCATGCTGGTCACAGCCACTTATGCAAATCAGAGCTTTCCTAGGTCCTGCCCCGCACCAGACTGCCCTCACCACTCAGGCATCTTCTCGTTCTCATTCTGAAACTGTTCTGCTGCTCCCCACTCCCAAGTTCCCCAGGCATGCTGCAGCAGCATCCAGTTCCTGGCACCAGTACTGTTTCAGTCTGTTTCTGTTGCTATAACAATGTGCCACAGATGACTTAGGAGGAAGCTTGTGATTCTAGAGGCCAGAAAGTCTAACAGCACGGGGCAAGGATCTGACAAGCTGCTGGGGAGGGCCATATGCTGCTTCAAATCATGGTGGGGAACTGTAGCGGGCACACGCAGAAGGGGCAGCCTTGCTTTATAGTGATCCGTGCCCTCCGTGCCAGGTGAGTCCTGACAGGGAACGCTGACCCTGGAGAAAGGCAATAGTCCCTCTGTAAGGCCTCATCACATCAAGGTCCCACCCCAGTGCTGTGACATCAGCAAATTCCAGGACAAGTTTTGGAGGGGACAAATCGAACTACAGCTGACTGATGCATGGGTGGGGCAGAGCTGGAAGGGGACAAGGAGAATGCCAAATCTGGCTCCAGGGAGAGACGGCACAGAGTGGCCTGGATGCCAGACAAGAAAGGCTGGGCAAGAACAAGAAGCTTGAACATAGGTGGATGGTCGGCACATGCTTGCTAGTGAGTAAGGAAAGTGCAGTGCAAGCTCAGAGAGCTTTATGACCTGTGTTTAGGAACCCGCCTCCAGCCAAGGTGAAGATTCCTCAGAAGCCACCCTGATGATGTCACACCTGTCCATCATGGCAGCTGAGGCCATGAGGAGATTAACTGCCTGCAGCAAGCTGGCATTCCACTTAACAATCCTCTGCTTTGCAAGATGCACCCCACTTCCCTACACCAGTTATGTCAGGGTTCCTCAGCACAACTTTGTTTTTAAAATGCATAATTATTAAGTCTCTCTGGAGTTTACTAAAAGACTATTCTTTCTAGACAGATCAGTGGTTGGCACCATTAGGAGGGCTCTGTGGGCCATTCTGACTTAGCTGAGATGGGGAGCCAGCTCCCAACCTCTCCCCTCTCCTCCACATTGTGGCCAGGACCTCACCTAATCCACTGCACACGCTCCAGGGTGGAAGCTTGTAAGGGGTGGTGTAGCTGTGAAATACACTGACATCGTGAGGAGCCAGGAACTCCACGAACTTGGCGTCACTGAAGGCATCCTTCTTACAGTGAAAAATGGAGGCAACTTGGTTAGAGATGTACAGGATCTTTCCAGAAACCAGAGACACAGCCACAGCAAACATATCCTGGAAACAGAGACCATGATCAGGTGATTATAGTCGGTAGGGACTGACCACCTATATAAGGCTAGTGGGGACACCCCATCACTAAGGCCAGGGGGTGTCTGGCCTCCTCAAGCCTGGCCAAGCTGACTTTCCTGCTCCAATGCAGACATCCAACAGAACACCATCAGGGGTGACACATTAGGCTAGCCTCCCCTGGTTCCTGAGCTTCCCTGGCACGGCAGAGTGACTTTCACCAGCTGGTCTCTCAAGTCCTGGGGGTGACTTGCCCCTCTGGTCACAGGTCAGCTGCCATGGAGGGATTTGGTTGGTAGAAAGGGGTAGGAAGGCTCCAGGAGCTGGGCTGGGGCAATCCTATTCCTCACAGGATTACTGTCTGTTCTCACCGAACATTCGCACGCCCTCTCCTCCCCCAGGCCTTTACACGTTTAGGGCTTTTGACCCAGACCTTATTACCACTAAGCCTGGACAGACAGATGGTCACCAAGTCCGTCTCTTCATCCTGAAGCCACAAAAAAGCTGGAGGCTCAAATCTCCATCATGGCTAGGCCTCCCTAGTCCTGGCAGCTATGACTCCGAATCGGCCAGAGATGAGGACAATCTCCCAGGAAAGAGCAGAAGTCTAGAACGTGACTTCACTCCACCAACTTGGTGATTTTACATTTTGTCAAGAGGAATGGACCCGCTTCCTGACAGTGGACCCGCTGCCTTACCCAAGGGCGAACTCGTGCCCTGTCAAAACACTCACAGCATTCTTCATGATGTACTCCGAGGTAATGCCCTCAACCTGCTCCATGGTGTAAGAGGGCACATCCACACTGCAGGGCTGGCTCTCACTGGACATCAGCAGCTGGTAGTACTCCTCGTTAGCTATAGCAGAGATGACACGCATGTTCAGCAGGTGAAACCAACGTGACTGCACGCTGTCACTGGGCCCTGCAGGTGGGGTCCATTTTCCTCAAATGAACAAGTGGATGAGAGGGTATTTTGGACTCAGAGAATGGAGACATGAGTGACCAGCACTCAAGAGCGGACCGGAGACTTTCTCTGACACATTATTTAAGTCATAAGGGTCCACAGGGCCCTGAAGTGTGATGCGACCACGATGGCCTTACTTAGGGCCACAGCAGCAGCCCCTGAACTTGAGCCTTGGTGGTCCCTTGAGGGACTTTCACACAGGAAAAATCCACTGCTTGAAAGAGGAACAGGTACCAGAAGCCACATTGAAAAGAAAGTGCTGTGAGCCACGTCTACAAATGTGGCCACTGACATGACTTCCTATGTAGTAGGAACCTGGGGGAACCAAGCCACAGCAGCTCTCACTGTACAAGGCAGGAAAACAGCCCGCTCCTGCCTCTACAGCTCCACATGTCCTTGGGTAGATGGAACCTAGGGTGGCTGTGTCCTGGAGTTTGACCCTGGGATCCAGCCAAGCATGTGCTCCCTGCAGTGTGGTGGTGGTGAGGTCTTTGGACCCATGGCTGGGTCTTATCTGATGTTAATTATTCCACCTTCACAGGCTGCTAGGTTTCTGAGCATGCTCTCTGCTGGAAAGCTTAGGAAAGTTCTTGAATTGGCAGAGGGCCTGTGTTCTGAAGTTACTGCGGAGGCCAAGCCTAGAAACCAACAGTCCCTGGAGAGCAGACTGCCTCCACATCAGATTGACTCATGCTCTTTCCAGAGAGCAGGCTCTTCCTTAGGCGCAGGCGCCAGAGCCATGGTCTCCATTGTCTGGCCTTAGGGCACTGGATTCCCAAATATGTTTGGACTAACCAGCACTGGCTAGCAGGTAGCACTGTTTAGATCACATCAATCCCCTCCAAAGGAACAGCAGTTTAGGGAGCGGCCCACAGAGGTTTCAGGCTGAAGAGAGCACCCAAACACACACAGAGGCCAGCACAGAGCAGAATGATGCCTCTAACAGCTGGATCCAAGGACCCAAGATCAGTACCAGCAACGTGCCTGCTACTGACAAAAGCCATCCAGATACTTAGAAACAGAAGACTACCTGGAGCACAAGTTCATCCTTGGACTATGGGACACAAGCCTGGACAGCCTACATGCTTGATGGCTTCAAGACAAACTGTAATGCTAACCACAAAGCCCACACTGCCTAGACCTCAGCCTTTAGGCCTTGCTTATTCTTATTCTTTATTTATTTATTTGGTTTTCCGAGATAGGGTTTCTCTGTGGTTTTGTAGGCTGTCCTGGAACTAGCTCTTGTAGACCAGGCTGGTCTTGAACTCACAGAGATCCACCTGCCTCTGCCTCCTGAGTGCTGGGATTATAGGCGTGCACCACCACCGCCGGGCTTGGCTTTGTTTATTTTGATGTGTGTTGGTAAGACGTAGTATTCAGCCCTCAGCTCACGTGTGTAACTGTGACCACAGTCACAAAGTGGGGTGGTGTTCACGCAGGTGCCACACATGGGTGAAGTGGTGGTGGGGGCTTGAGTTTCACATTCCCTGCCCATGGCACCTGCCTTCCCTGTCCCGGTGGGATGCTCACCTCTACCTGTTCATTTCAGAGGATCACATAGACAGCAACAGCCCCCACCACTCAGAGCCAGGGCTGGATGCAGGTGTTTTCTCCACAGTGGAGCACCTGTAAAGCTCACATCCCTGTGCCTAGCAACTGACTAAAGGCTTCTAGGCCTTTCTCCCAATGCCTACAGCTAGGCCTTCCTGGAATGACGTATCCAGGGGACTGGCACCTGAACCTCAGCATGGGCTGCTCGTTTTCCACCTGGGCAGTGTTTCCAGCTTGTCGGGGAGTCAAGGGCAACTGCAAAGGACTGAGAGTCAGGAGATGAGGAAGCTGGCCCATGCAGGTCCTGGGTGGGAGCAACCGTAGGACAGCTGAGTCTGCTCGGGTGTGAGGAGCCCTCTGGATCCCTGGACAGGAAAGAAGCTCAGCTCTTCTCCATGTTCTTATCTAGAAGACCCAGTCTTCTGCCTCACACACCAAGTAAAATGCCCTACCACATCCTGACTTCTAAAAGTCCAAACACACAAAGAACAGCATGCTCTGCTTTTTGAAGACCCAAGAATACGAACTGTTGATGGCCAGAGTTGCCCCTGACTGTGCATGCAAGATGCTGGGGACTGTCCTGTGATGAGCGGTGTTACTGTGCCCTGTCTCCTGCCCCTTCCTTCCCGATTAAAATAACCACCAGAGCAGAAAAGGTTTTGTAGGTAAACATTTTTAGATAAACTGGAAATGAGTCACCTGAGTGGAGGTCATTAATTAAGAAGTACCTTGGTGGAAGGTGCTGGAGAGATGGCTCAGTGGTTAAAAGGACACATGGTGGCTCACAGCTGCTTGTAACTCCAGTTCCAGAGGATATGATCCCCTCTTCTGGCCTCCACTGGCATGCACACATTTGGTGCATGTATATATTCAGGTACATGTACCATACATACATACATACGCACACATATGTAAAACAGTGCCTCGGATTTAGCTCAGTTGGTAGAGTGCTTGCCTAGCCTACATAAAGCCTGAAGTTAGAGCCCCAATTCCACATAGAAGCAGATACAGTGGTACACACCAGTAATCCCAGTGGTTGGAAGGTGGAGGCCAAAGGATCTAGAAGTTCAAGGTCATCCTCAGTTACACAGTAAGCCTAGTGAGTTTTCCATCAGCCTTGGACATGCGATCCTGTCTTCAGAAAAGCCAAGTGAGGAACTGGCAACCCCCTCTGGCTCTTTTCTCATGTTACAGGTTAAAGGTAGACAAGCCCTCAAGAATGCTGTACTTCAATTCCATTCTGACCCATGCAGCTCATGGTACTGTGTGTGTGACCATCATTCTGAACTCATGGTCACTGTCCCAAACACAAGCTTATGAGGGAAGCAGACTTCTCCCATCCACTGGTTTTCTGCCTCTTTTTGGGTTTGCCTCTAAAAGTTTAATAGAAAGCAGTGATGAACCATGGATCTCAACCAACTTTAACTTCATCCTATTTGTATTGCTCAGAGGTGAATCTTAAAAAGTGGTGTTTACACTGTAGTTTGGGGCACTGCCAGGGCTAGAAAGATGAAGATACCTCACTCCACAATGTTGTCCTCTGACTTCCACACACATGCACAAAACACATGACATCTATCACCACACACAGAGACACGTGGACACACACATACACAAAGAATAAGCAAGGAAACAAACAAAACTGTTTCGATGGGTTTGAACAGACGTGCAAAGTGCACATACCCTTCACCTGCTTCACGCTCCGAAGGGCATACTTCAAGGTCGCCAGTGTGCTGGCCTTCCCCTTGGCTTTCTTGTCTGCAGGGAGGTGGACCTTCAGCTCCCTCAGTGTCCTTATCAGCTCTTTGTGTGCGTCAGCTTTGGCAGACTGCTCACTACTGTGGAATTCAAGACAAAGGCAATCAAACGGGAGCCTTTTGAAGAGAGTGGCTGGGTGCAGGGGCAGCCATATTCATCCCTGGTCTCCCTCACCAATGGCAAGCAACACCTTCTCAGTTGCAGTCACTAACGAGGTCAGACATGGCCAAAAGCCTCCTTCCAGGGGACCACAGACTGGTAAGAATCCATGTTCTCACTCAGAGAGAGAAGTCCTTTCAACAAGAACCTTCCCTGGGGTCAGGCTGGGCCTCATTTCAGAGGGAAGATGGTCAACCCTTGGTATAGTGGTGTAGACTTTGCCACTGGGCTATCTCCTTCCCTACCCCACGTAGAGGGACAAGAACTGTATGAGGGATAGCAAAATAGCTCCTGGAGCCAGGCAGTGGTGGCATACACCATTAATCCCAGCACTCAGGAGGCAGAGGCAGGTGGGTCTCTGGAGACATAAGCATGGACCATGAGAATAGAGGAGAGGAAAGGGGACCTTGAAGAAGGGGATTCCAAGGAGAAGACAGCGAGCAGAGGAAGGCAGGAATGATGCTGGAAATGGTTTATGTCGAGAAGGTACCCAAAGAATGATGGGTCTTCAATGGCCAAGTACCCACATGCCCGGGAGTAAGGTCTTTGCCCCAAAGATGATAAGAAAGTGTCTGTGAACACAGATAATTTGTTGCAAAAGGGTAAGGAAGTTCCTGTTGAACAACAGGATGGGGGCAAGGATGCCTAGAACAGAGCTTGGAGGAAACTCTGCACTCAAGAACAACCAGCACAGGGAGGCACAGGACCACAGTGGCTGTGTGAAGGGCAGACAGATGCCACCAGTCACACTGACTGGCCACTCGGACCAACAGATCATCTGAGCTTAAGACAGTCATGTCATGCTGGGCAGTGGTGGCACACGCCTTTAACCCCAGCACTTGGGAGGCAGAGGCAGGCAGATCTGTGAGTTAGAGGACAGCCTGGTCTACAAAGCCAGTTCCAGGACAGCCGGGGCTCCTACACAGACAAACCCTGTTACTTTCAGACCTGGCCTCAAAGGAGACCCTGCACCTTGCCGAAGGTGCACAATGTGGGAGCTGTGGTGGGGCCTTGAAAAAGCACGAGGGAGCCACCGTGGTGGGCTCCATGTCACTGAGAGAGCACGAGGTGGGCAGGACGGTGGGTCTCACCTGCAGCCGCTCGTGGAGGGGTTGTGTCCCTGCTCTGTCATCATCAGTCTGAAGGCATCAGGGCTGCAAGAGCAGATGTGACAGTCTCAACGTCAGAGCCCTATATGCCTCTCCCCCCACCCTTCCAGCCAGTGACAGCGGACTAGGGACATGCATGGCACTTTCAGGAGAACATTAGGGTGTGCTGGGTGATGGCTTTGGGATAAAAAAAAAACCTGCCTGGCATGCCTGAGACCCGTGGTATGGCCTCCATGGCTTCCCACACAATAAAACTCTGGGCTGGAGAATCAGCTCAGTGAAGGGTTCCATGGGACCCAGATTCAAGTCCCAGCACCCACAGGGCTGCTTACACCCATCTGTAACTCGGGATCCGATGCTCTCTTACGTCCTCTGTAGTCGACAAGCACACAAGTGGTGTACAAAGGCAAAATAACCATCCACGTTATAATTCAAATTTAAAAACGGAAAAATTATGTTAAAACTGAAGCCTAAGATCTTCAGATATCAGGAGAGTTGAGCACTGAGAGATGGGGAGGCAAAAGGAGCAACTGTTTTCTGTGACCGCGTCTGAGCAGTCACCTCCAAGTGAATCAGACACAAGGGTGCGGAGATTCCGGACAGATCTCAACAAATACTATCTACACAATTAAGTAATGCGGCAATCTGTAAGCCCTGGTACGTGCTGCTTGAAGATGGGCAACAGAAAACATGGAGGCAGCCACAGGTGCCCTGCGTGTGAGGGTACGGCCTGAGGCTGACCCTACCTCGGGTGAGTGCTGGGAGGTTCCACTAGCATCCGCAGCTCCTTCCCATTGTCGTCACAGTCACTGCCCTGGGAGTCCCGCCCTGTGGAGCAGTTTTCCTTTCCACTGGAGCCGCTGCTCATGTCCACGTCTTCCTGGAGTGCAGCCTGGCTGGTCTGAGGTTCCCCTGGCTCCTCGGTGGGGCTGGTGGGACTAGGGGGAAAGTTCACATATCCATTCATGTCGGGCTCTGGAATGAAGCTGGTGAAGGAGAGAAGATCAGGGTCAAGCGTTGAGAGGCACCCGTGAGGCTGGGGATGAAGCTCAACAGAATAAAGCACTCGTCTAGTTTGTGCGAGGGCCTGCGTTTGGGTCCCCGTATCGGTGGCACAATTGTCATTTCCTTTTGTGTTCCTGACTCCTTAGCTCCTAGTGGCCCTCGATAAGGAAGACAGCTGGCCTGGGAACCTCAGCTGGGCCACAGAGGTGCTGACTCCGTCTCAGCAGACAGGCAAGTGCACTTACAGCCACCTGGGTGGTGGGGAAATGTAGTTATGCTAAATGGTAAGCAGGGCCTGGGCATCTTTGTCCAGCAACAACTTCACCCCAGCATGGCATGAGGTACAGGGCAGACGAGGGCAGCGCGGCCTCCATGAGGCTGCGCCAGTGGGTACACCATGGCATGTTCCAGATGCTAGGGCTCCAGCACTGCAGGTGGCCTGGTTTTAGCATAAGGTATTGTGAATGGGCAGGAGATCCAAGCTCAGTCATGACAGTCAGAGGTCACTAAACTGCCTAAGCATCACAGCCACGGGACCTGGTTTACATTTGGGTGGATCCCATGGCCACCCTAGACAGAAACTTGAACCTGTGTGCTTAGGGGTAGGTGGGTAGAAGGGGCTGAAAGTCCACTACTAACAAGACTTCCATAGAAAGTCAGACTCTCTGAGGGGTCACGGACTTAGTGACTGGGAAGGGTGGCCACACCACCAGACAGGAGGCCACAGCTCAGGGATAGGAGACTGTTAGAGGTCACTGGGAGAAAAAGGGAGGGCCAGGGATAACATTTCTAGTAGGATCCTGGCAGGAAGCAGATTATCACTTAGGCTGGGTCACATCAGATTTATGCAAACAGTAAAGGCAGCAAAGGACTAGGTGCTGGGCCTGGGAGAGGCAGTTACCACCACCCAAAGGGTTAGTGAAGAAGAAAGAGCTGAAGAAACCCAAGCGGGGGGGGGGGGGGGGGGGGGGGCAGGATGAGGAACAAGTACAGGGCCACTCTCTCCTCCTGACCTCTACCCCGCCAAGCAAGCGTGTGAGGGAGCCAGAGAACTAGAGACACGCTGGCTCTAGAAGGCCAGGCGGCGGCAGCAGGCTCACCTGGGAGGTACAACATCTCCCCGCCTCCCTGGCAGTCAGGAAAACACAAGCTGCCAATGGAAGGCGGACACAGCCCAGGTCCCGCTGCAGGCATTGCATGTGCTGCATGCAGGGTTCCATGCTGCAGGTGAGCTGACAGGGTAGGACACTCACCCAGGGCTGCCTAAGACCAGGCAGCAGCCAGCTCCAGACCTATGATACTCTGGTCCCACACCCACCCTAAGCTTAGAGGTGTCTCTGTGCTGACTAAGCCCACCACGGCATTGCTTGTCCACAGCACTGCTCACCCTTCCCAGGGTGAGACAAAGACAGAAATACTTTCTAGATTCACCCCTACCCTATTTCCTCCATAATTCATGTAAAATGACCAGCCATTTTAAACTGCTGGAGAAACAGCACGGTTTTCAGGCGTCCAGGAACACCCCCCCAAAGGACCCCCCACTGTTTGCCACCAAGCAAAGGCAGTCCAGGCTAGCAGAGATGGGAGTGGCATCGCACCAGGGGGTGGCACTGGGGCCTCACACCCTGCTGGGTTGCCCCAGGCCCCAAGGAAAGTGGGAGCACTACAGATCCTCCCCTCCTCCCCCTTACCACAGTGGGACAAAAGGAGAGTGTAACCACTGGGAAGATGCTAACAAACGACGGAGCACAACAGCCTGACCCCTATATGCAGGAGACAAAGCAGGTCACATCCAGTCACTGTCCTGGAGATGGCATCATAAGGCCCAGCACGGTCCTTCATGCAGCACCTCCAGGTCTCCCCCATTGTAGGACTGACTCCAGGGAGATAGATGGGAGCCACACAGAATCTAGCTATGCTGCTGCTGGAAACCAGCTCAGTGATGAGACCTTGTCTGTCCACAAGTAACAAAGGCCAAGGTGTGGCTTTCCAGAAGGCTCCAATCAAGAAGCACAGCCGCTAGCAGAGAGGGGAGAGCAACTCAGAGTAGACACACCTACTTCTCCCCAGGCACGAAACTTCTGCAGTCAACAGGTTTGATGGAAAGAGCAGCTAGAACTGAGATAATGCGAAGGCCAAAGCAGAAACACATCAGAACTGATTTTTAAAAGAGGAGAAGAACGCAGTTCAGTCAAGAAGGGAGAAATGTCTGTGGTGATCGGGGAATGTCTGAGAAAGTAATCTGTTGTTGGTAAGAGGAAGTCTTTCCAAGTAGACTTAGGTTTACTTAGGATGGTCTTGAACTTGTAACCCTCCTACCTCAGCCTTCTACATGCCAGGGTTACAGAGATTATGGTGCGCACACCGTACCTAAGAAGGGACAGATGACAATGCCTAGCAGGAGAGCAAGGGGAAAGCAGCCATTTTCACCCAGGGAAGAGTCTTCCAGAACAGCCTCAGAACACCAAGATAAAGACAGGTTTGCGTCTGCTAATCTGCAGCAAAATTATATAACAGAAGTCTAGCGACTACAGAGAAAGGTATGTTTTCAAGAGCAAAGAAAGCGATATCAGAATCCAATGAGGAAAAACTAACACGTGACCCACAAAGCAGGAAGGAGGGTGCCAGCTGAGGCACCAGGAGGCATTGTTTATGCCACTTACGTAAAGAAGAGGTGTGCAGGGAAGGGAGGATGTCCCAGACAGGGACTTGCTTGCTGTGCCCCAGAGAGATGGAGTTTGTCAGTATCCCAAGTCACAGGAAAAAATGTGCACGTTCTGGCTTTTTTTTTTTTTTTTTTTTTTTTTTGGAGTTTGGAAGTTGTGCCTAGTTCAAGGGAAGGGAGGAGACTTTTGGAACATGCCTAAGCACAGGCTTCACAGAGGGGACCTTTCCACAGAGAAGCAGGAATTGATGGAAAGATCACCAGAACCAGGAAAATGCAAAGGAAGAAGCCATTTTGCCCACTGGTCACAGAACATTAGCAGAACCCACTGCATGGTGATGGTAAGATGGAGAACAGACGGCCATGGGAGCTTGGAAATAAGCACAGAGACTCTCTGGAAGGATGTGTGACCTTTCGTCCTTCTAGGAACAGAGACATAGAAATTCTGAGCACCCTGCACACACACACACAGACCGGGGGGGGGGGTGGTGTCTCTGTATGACACCTGTATAATATGGCCACTCTGGCCAGATACCGGCCTCACCTTCCATACTGAACTATTCCTCTACCTGGCTCCACGGCAGTCAGCCCAACAGGAGAAGTGATTCTGGTGGATAATTGCTACTTATCATCTGGTGGATAAAGGCCTGTGATGGGACCCTTACTCAGAGGACAGACTGTCTCTAGAAGGGACTGTAGGCACTGAGGTTTAGTTGCCCCTGCCATCTATCCACACCCACATCCCAGTCTAGCCTGTGTGCACACTCTCATTTGAAAGCCTTTGCACTGTTGCTCCCTCTGGCCCACAGACACCTGGATAACTTCTATCACCTTCCCCTATGTCAGGGTGGTGTTTCCATTCCCCTCTAGAGAGCAAGGTGTGTGAGAGCCAGAGTTCTGAGTGTTTCCTGCTGGACTCCTAGGACACAGCACATCTATGGAAGGCACGCTGCCTGGGATGCTGCACTTCAGAGCACTATGCACCAGCTGGGACGGGGGCAGGAGAGCCTGGGACCGCACCGCAGAGCGCTGGGCACCTGCTAGGAGGTGGGGGGGGGGCAGGAGAGCCTGGGACCGCACCGCAGAGCGCTGCATCAGCCAGGAGAGGGGAGTAGCATAGTCTAGGAGTCTGCACTACAGAGCACTGTACACCCACTGAAAGAGGCAGGATAGTAAAGCTTAGAACACTACACCACCCAATTCTGTGCACCCACTATGAAAGTGCCACAGGCGTCCTGGACAAAGCTGGTAATGACACTAAAACCACAAGGGCACTCATGCAGACACGGCTTCCCAGTGACCCCTAGGGCGGCCTTCCAGCACACAAGTGCACAGCTGGAGCCCTGCTCTCCTGGAGCTCACCCAGAACACAGGTGACCAACAAGGAACTAGAACACATCAGATAGGAAACATTTCTGGGAGACATAAAGGAGCAGTGGGTCGGGGCTTGTGAGGGGGGGCTGGGAGAGAGGTACAGGAAGTTCCAATGGCACAGAACACTTTAATTAAGACTTGTCACGAGCTCCAGTGTTGACTCCAGGATTTCAGGGTGGACACACAGTCTTCCTGAAGCCACCAGGATTTGTTCTCTCTTGAGCCCTAATACTCTAGAACACATCCGTCTCATCCACACAGGCCTCCCCCTAGATGGGCAGCCCGTCTTTTTTTTTTTTTTTTTTTTTTTTTTTTTTTTTTTTGCCTTAGGTTATGGGGATGGCGGGACAGCAGCAGAGGTAGGGCAGCTGGGTGAGCAGAGGGCCAGGCTCTCTGCCATACTCCACTCTTCCAGGCCATGCAATCTCAACAGGTTCCTTAGCCTCTGTGCCAAGTTTCCCCACCTTTATGATGGGAATAAAAGCAGTCCCTCCCTCTTATTGGCACTTGGGAGGATTAAATGGCTGGATACACCTGCAATGGGATAAAAAAAAAAAAAAAAAAAAAAGCAGACAAAAACCCAGCTTTCCATCTTGGGGCTACATCACAGCAGGAACATAGGCGGGTCACACAGTAACTGGGGTAGGGTGAGGGAGTTCACGGTGGAGCCTGCTGGTGGCAGCTCTGGCTTACATGCAAAGGACTAAGACACACACGGCATTCTACCCCACCCCACACCAGGTACCCTGGGTGCTCTGTGTCGAGCTCAGTTCCTGGGACTCCTAGGTTGTGCCTGACGGTTCCAATTGCTTGGGGAGGGGGTTCTAGGCAAACAGGGTCACTGTTGCCACCAGGTTACCTTAGAGAGGAAGATAAACTTTTTTCAAAAGAGGGCCAGGCAAGAACAGCAGAAATATAAAGCAATAAACTAAGCTAAGTCTTTCAAAACCTCATTATTCCAGAAAATACACTGCTCAGCATGAGTGGTTCTAATGGGCCGACATCAATTTGCCAACTTGGCAGAACCAGCTGCTGGTCCAAGCAGACTTTGCCTCCTGGAAAGCACTCTGTGCCAGCCCTGCTGGGTGGGCAGGAGCCCTGGGAAAGAGGGTACAGTCTCAGGGAGGGGTCCTGGAGGGAGGAGAACTTGGCTGAGGAGCCTCTTGACCTGAGCCATCCACTAGCCTCGCCCATGGAGAGAGAGGGCCTGAGGGCCCGAGTTAAGATGGAACTGTTGACAGACACTGGGAAACTGCTGTGGGTCAGGAGCCTGGCGTGGGAGAGGGTACCCCAGGCTGGCTGCTAGGAATTCACAGTACTGCAGCTAGCTACACTTTCCATAACAAATGGTTAAACACGACAAACAAGCATGACAAAAGGGGGCCTGGAGAGCAGAGCCTGGACAAAGGGCCAGCCTCCAGTGCCACCAGGAACATAATACATCAACCTCACTGTCCCCTGCTTGAGAGGAAAATGGACACATTTTCTGAGGGAAATGAAAATCAGTAAATAACCTACTTCCTTGAAAGTATAGTTGCACACATCATAAGGTCCCAGCTTGGTATGCATCCCTGAACTGAACACGCCCCTCTGACCAGCCTGCAGGAACAGCTTGAGCCTGGATAATCACAGCCCAGCAAACTCTGACTGTTTTCTAACTTTACATAACAGGGACCTGACAGCCAGGACCTCTGCAAGCCTCATGGTATTTTACAACCTCAAATATTATAACATGTTTTTTACTTCCTGGTAGGAGCCAACTCCCTGGGGCCTGCCTGCTGTAATCCGGAGAAAATGTTTGTCCTGTTAAACAAACAGCCACGCTCTCCATGGTGACGGTTGGGTAACGGAGGAAAATGTGGCCAGGGCTGTCCAAATAAGGAGGGGAAAGAGGCATGCGGGTGGGGTGCTGCCTCACGGGGACTCCCCCACATGCTTTCCATGTGTTGGGGTTCCAAGCTGCAGAACAATAATGTACCAAGATGGCAGCCCCTGCTGGTGGCTGAGGTAGGAGGAGCTGCTTGAATGCTGGCAGGGTCTAGCCTTTGCCCTTGGGAACTTGGGCTGATCCTATTTCACCAGGTGTTGCAGTGAACGGACCCTGTTTCTCCACAAAGCCTACTGTGCCAAGATAATTATGTGAGGACTGGTAAGACGGCTCAGTGGGCGAAGCCACTTGCTGTGGGGACAGGTGACCTGAGTTTGATCCCTGTAACTGACTCCTTCAAGTTGTCCTCCAACCTCCACGCGCACACAATATACATACACATGAAAAGTAAATCGTGTGGCCTCTCTCCCTGCTTCTGTCTTGCTCTAGACTCTAGAGTTGCCTACAGTGATCAGATTGTCATTGTATTCCCAGAGCAAAATACTTCGCATGAGGGCCAGATCTCCAGAGGGGAGCACCCTGACTTATGAACTGGCCAGCAGAGGCTCGCTCTATCTACACTTGCTTGTTCTCCCAGGAGTCTACTGCTAGGCAGCTTCCTGCAAGGGTTGGATGAAGAGGGCTACAAAGAGCTGTGGGTTATGGGTTTCTAGGCACCCAGTGCAGTCATTTTCAGGGGCAATACCAATCTCCACCATGGCTCTTTCCTCTGCCTCTACGCGCCAGTCTTATCAATTGTCCATCGACTTCCCAGCTCGGGAGCTCAGGGTTCACTGAGATTGGATGAAATTATACCATTATAACAGGCCCCCACACCTTCCAGGGTTTTCTAGAAGGTCCAGTATTTGAGAGAAGCCATAAAATAACAAGAACCTTCCCTACTTCCTTTAAGCACAGCAGAAATGTCTCACACAGTGATGCTAACTGACAGCAGGCAGAGCTTCAGAAACTTCTTATCTCTTGGACAGGTGCCCGAGAAAACAGTGCACAGACACAGAACTCCAAACTCTTGAACTGAATCAGATTTCAGAGACTGCCTCCAATGAGGAAACTGAGGCCCAGGGTAAGCCAAGGTAGCCAGTAGCTGCCAGCTGGAGGTGCAGGGCTCCCCCGCTGCTGAGTACTCCAGCCTCCACAGAAAACATGAGCTGCATCAGCTCTGTACCCCTGAATCACACCAAGACGGCGGTGACAGATAACTGCAACCCACGCTGGCACACTGTACAGCCACCACTAAAATAAAGGAGTCCCTGGCTTCATTAGATCCCAATAACTTACAAAAAGCAACTGTGTGATTTAAAAACCCAAATTATAATTCAAGATCTCAGCCAAATCCAGTAGACTAAAGTAGAGTGGACATGCCCTCTTCAGGCTCGCACCTCTGGGAAACATGTAGACCAAGGAGGAGAAACAGGTTCTGAAATGGCCAGGCCTGGTTTTACAGTGGTACAGCCTGCCAGCCTGTGTCTGTGCCTCATCGAGCTAGGGGTTACCCTGGACGATTTCCAGGGAGCCTTCTGGCTCTCTGTTCTGTATGAATCACCTTTCCAAACTGGTTCCCTGTGTATACGTTACAGAAACCCTGGCAACCAAGGTTCCTGCAGGGGAAGCAGGCCACCGCCCACCTCTTGGTCCATGTCTCTGCTTTGCAGCCAAGGTATGTCCCAAAGGATGACGTGACTGCTCCAACTCAGAGTGGACCCCCCCCCCACACACACACACGCCCAATCCATCTGGAGTCAGTGATACTGGCAAGGATGCCACAGAGGACAAAGTGGGTGGAGAAGGTGGTCTTTTTGACCTGGGGGGGGCAGGCGTGGCTTAGTACTAGGAGCTTTCTTGTTCCCCCACCACCACCGCAGGGGGCCAGCTCCTATCAGAGGTCCTTTCCTAGGATCAAACTTCACTCTCCGGACTCATAACAGGAAGCCAGCTTCTCAAGGGATCCTCTGTGTCCTAGGGGCAGTTTGCACTACCCCGGCCCCCTTGGACATCACCAGTGGATGGGGTGGGGGAGATAAGGAAAATCATTTAAAGAAACGCAGTCTGGTGTGATGATCACTCAATGGCTCTGCGCCCTCAGACAAGATGCCTAACTAATCTTCCCAACCTCTGTGCCTAGACCTGCGAAATGGGGGCAGAATGTACGCCTGGACGAGGGTCATCTCACGGTCCTGTCTGCATTCTGCCGAGCTGCACCCATTCTCACGGTTGGCTACTTCTGGCGCAGGACCCCAGCTCCAGCTGTCCCAGCCGCAGGTTACGTAAGCCGCCCGCGGTCGTCCCGGTTCGCGCCACCGCCCCGCGCCGCGCCACTCACCGCTCCGCCGCGTCCGCCAGCGCCTCGGTCCTTCCCTCGGCCCGTCACTCGGTGCGCCCGGCCTGCGCCGCAGCCGCCCGAAGCCGCTAGTCCCTGTCGCGCTGCCGCCGCCGTCGCCGCCGCCGCCGCCCGGTTGCCCTCGGCTGTCACATAGTGGAAAACGTGACCGCGCGCGCTACGCCCGCCCCTGCGCGCGCCATTGGTCGCGGCGCCGCCTCATCTGCATACTGGCGGGGCGGAACCTGAGAGCCTCGCGCGTCGATTGGTTAGGACGCCCGTCGCTCTCTTTACATAAGACGCACATGGAACTCCATGTTCGCCGCCTCGGTTCCTCAATGAAGACGCTGCGCGCTCGGGCGCCCCCCCGCGTCCTGGCGAGTGGGCTCGTCCACTTCCGGCCCGCGGGCCTTCCATTCACCTGGCACGGCGGCTGCCGGCTCGTGCAGCGAGGAGTGGCACGTACCACTGCAGCGCGGGGGGTACTGGTGCCTGGCCGCTACGCAATTCGGCCCCAGCGGAGTCCTGCGGCGGTGGGCCTACCACCTGCAGCGACACGACCTCCTGGGCACCCCGCAGAACCGAGAAAGCTCTCTGCTGACACCCTTCGCTCACCCAGCTCAATTCATTCATTTCTTTTCTCATTCATTCATGGCGAGCCGCCCAAAGACAAGACAGGGCGGCCCCTCTGGATCTGCTGCTGCACACCCACTCAGGACATCCTATGCCCCAGGCTGATGGTCGTTCCAGATGGGCCAGAGCACATCGCTTCCACGTAGCCTTTCTTGTTTTTGAAACCGTGTGTTGCAAGTGTGGATTCAAGAAATAAGGTCATGATTACTGTGCAAAAATGCAAAAGAAAGAAGTGATTCCGCCCTGCCCGCAATCGCATAGCCAGAAAAGAGGCGTTCTAAAGTGGAACTTTACCAAAAGGAATGCTGTTAGTTAATTAACCTTACAAACTCTACAGAGGCGAAGCACTTGAGAATGGGTAAATGGGGTACGCATCTGGAAAATCAGGACTTTTCCAAAGTGGAAGCTCTAGTCAGGGTAGGGAACTCCCCAGGGATGGGACAGCCCTGCCCTTATGGCACCTTGGCTGACTATTTATTTGTTCTCTCAAGACCAGTATCTGGAAGCATATTAAGCATTCAGGCTCCTGTCCAAAGGGTCAAAGGAAGGAGTAGAACTTCCGTTGGGACTGGTTTAAAGCCCACGATTTATCTATATGACATGAAACAACTTTTTTTTATTTTATTTTAGATTTATTTAGTATATATACAGTGTTCTGTCTGCACACCAGAAGAGGGCACCAGATCTTATTATAGATGGTTGTGAGCCACCATGTGGTTGCTGGGAATTGAACTCAGGACCTCTGGAAGAGCAGCCAAGTGCTCTTAACTTCTCCCCAGCCTGAGATAGAACAACTTAAAGGCTCTGAAAGTGCAAGGTGTGATGGGGAAGACGAAGCTGTCTTGTCTTTGACGAGTGAAGGGGTCACTGGGGTCACTTGGCAGGATCTACTACTCTGGATTTTCCTCGGGGCCTCCTAGGAACCAGGGCTGGAAAACGAAGCAAACATAAACAGAAGCCTGTGAACAAACTGTGCTGCTGGTCTACACAGCTATGAGAACCCACATTCAAGGATCCCTGTGTGTGAGCCACTTCTTTCTCTTGGCCTGGCAGGACAAGCATACAATCCCTCAGGTGCAGACAGGTCTGATACTGAGTTCACCTCAGCAACTCTTCCCTAAGAAGCCCTGGGAAGGCAGGTGTTGACTCACACTGAGGGGAGGGGGCGGGGCAGCCGGGCACAGTCTAGTTGCTCTGACATTGACACCTCACTACCCTCCCCAACACACACAAACAGAGCAGAGCTGGGCCAAGCTGCACCCTGTACACACCCAAAGAGCCTTTTGTTTTCTCATGGACATTGACGTCAATGGAGGCTGCATTGTTCTGGAAACAAGAGTACACAGCTCATCCACCTAGCAGAGTCTCCTTCGTGCTTGGCTCTTTCATGTCCTGCTCCATATTCGCCTTAATGTCACAGTTCCTCCTAAATTTAGCATTTTTATTTCCACCAGTGAATTTCTAGAAAGGCATAGGAATCGATTCTTTTGGAAATTCAATACTGTGGGGCTCTAGAATTCTTTGGAATCTAATTTGTCTTTAGCATTTCACTCAGTTGGATTCTACTTTCTTGTTACTGGAAACTTGCATTCACTCCACAACTTGCTAACACCCTAATCTGGAGAGAAATGCAAAAATGCACCCCTGTAATCTTGTTGTTGTTGTTAAGACAGTGTCTTGCCCTATATCCCAGACTGACCTGAGTTATAGGCTGCTGTGAACTGCCAGATGGGTGCTTGGAAGTTGGGTCCTCTGTAAGAGCAACAAGTGCTCTTAACTGCTAAGCAACCTCTCCAGCCATGAAGACAGTTTTAACAGAAGCCCCCCCCCCCCACTTAAAACAACCATTTGCTACAGTGCCATACAACAAAAGATTAAAGCATCAACCTTCCTGGCCATACGGACATTAGAAGAAAAACCAATAGCTTGACAGAGGTGAGAGCTGTGTCTTTTGGTGCCATGGTGGTTGACAGCCTTTTGGCTCTCGGGGTTTGTCTTATAGCTCAAGCCTGTGCCTTGAAAATTGAATTGTGGGTCAAGGTTTTCTGATCTCTGGAGGTTTGAAACTCTTTCCAGCATTTGGGGGCCATCCATATCACAGTTTTGAAAGAGGCCACAGAGAGGCAGCCTGTCAACAAGAAAACTGTGTTCAGGGTTATGTGCTACCTGTAAGGTACTCCCCAAGTCTGGAGTGCTCTCTACTCTAAGAGAACACCCAGGGTCCTTGGCAACGTCTTGTACAGGTTATTTTTAAATTTTTAAAATTTTTATTTATTTTGTGTGTCTGGGTATTTTGATCACATGTTTACCTATACATCATGTATGTGCTTGGTGCTTTAAGAGGTTCTACAATCTCCAAAAAAAAAAAAAAAAAAAAAATGGCCCCAACAGCCAAGGACTAAGTACTCAAACACCCAAACCAGTGAGAGACATTTCACTTTCCAGCTATAAAATGTCTCGTGCCTGACATGATGATTCCTGTAACTGAAATGATCTCCACATCCAAGGTGATCCCCCATATTCAGGGCAAAGCCCTGCTCTAATTTGGATCTGGAATGTCCTCAAATGCCCATACGCTAAAGAGTAGGTCACCAAGGTGGTATTGTTGGGAAGTGGTGAAATCTTGAAGGGGTGGGGCCTAGTAGAAGGTTTTAGGTCATTGGAGAAATGCCCTTAAAGGGACTGGGGACACCTGCCTCTTAATCTTCCGTTCATCAATCATGGAGTCAACCATTTCCCACATGCTGCTGTGATGATCACTCTTCCCTTGCAATAAGGCCAAAAGACAATGATGATAATCAGCTATGAACTGAAACCTTCAAAACTCTGAGCCAAAATAAACTTCTTATAAACTGGTTGTCTCATGTATTTGTTACAGTGGTAAAGCTAGCATACATTCTGTATCCAAAGCATGTCTGAGGTGACCCTCCATGTCCGAGGGGCTCCCCTGGGTTTGAGGTGGTCTCATTGTCTGGTCCTAATCTCATGTTTGCTGTGATCCCCATACATGAGGATCTTCTTCCTTCACAAGGAGAAAGGTTGTCTGATTAGTCAAGGGCTGGTCTCTCTGTTCTTCCGAGCCATAGTTTTCTCCCAGAAAACCCTGCAGTGGGTTCTATCTTCCCCTGCTCATGTGTCCCCAAGAAAGTCACCTCAGTCTCCTTCTTTCAACATTGTCAGTGGCACTGAGTGACAACCTCTCTGCTTCCCTCCCCTCCCCCTCATATGGATGTCCTGGAGTAGCATCAGGAACTGAGTGGCCTTTCATGCCCTGAGGGAAATCAAAGCTAGGCACCAACAGGGTCCTTGATCCTGGATGACACAAAGAAGAACACAGGAGGCTGAGGCTGGAGATAGGTGTGGCTATTAGGACCCCATCTTGACTTCACAAGCTGTGACTGACTGCCCAATGCTCCCAGCTCACTAACATGTCTTCCTTTATTTAACCCTCACAGCTGTATAAGATGTAAGCCTGTCCCTACTGCTCCTCTGTATAAGACAGCCTGGCTCTCAATGTGATAGGAATCGTGCCTTTGATAACCCTTGTCTACAGCATGAGCTCATGGTCGCCCTCACCCCTCCACCCTACACAGCCTGGGAAAGGGAAGGGCAGGAGTTATGAATGACCAAAGTCCAAGCTCCTATGGTCTCTCTGCCTCTGGAATATTCTCCCCAGCAGGAAGCTCCATTGTGATGTGGCTGGCAAAGTGTTCCGTGAGTTCTGATCTCCTTCAGTGCCTATAAAGGCTGGAGTGAAGGTTCTCATGGGCTAACCCCTACCACTCATCCCTCTAGCCATGCCAGGCTGGCATGTGAACCCTGTTTGTTCTCTGCCTGCAAGCCTACCCTTTAGTGAGGTCTGTCCCAAACCTGCTGAGGCCTGTGCAGTGTGGTTTAGGGGTTTGTCATCTTCATCTGACAACTTATAGCCTGTTATAGAAAAGCACCATTGACTGTTCCCAGGCCAGGATTTGTAGAAATGACAGATGGGCCTGACTGGGCCACCTTCAAAAGAACCCTAACTGAAAATATCCCCCTAACCATGATTCCAGTCTGGAATTGAGCTGTTTACCACGACTAATCTGTTTTTATTACTGTGATGTAATATCTGAGGCAGGATACTTTATAAAGAAAAGAAGCTTATTTAACCCACACACTTGGAGGCCAAAAGTCCTAGATCATGTGGCCCATGGATTATGTCTTTGGTGAGAGCCTGTATTGGATGGCATCATGGCAAAACACATCAGAGGAGAGACTGCATCACCAGAAATGAAGGCGGGGGAAGGGAGGTTCTTCCATGGTTGTTCCTTTTAGCACCCTGACTTCCGAACTAACCAACGTGTCCCATGTACTCAATTCCCAGCAGCCTCAGTTGCTCCTCCCAGAGCCACCGCTCTGAGGACCAGCTCCTTAATACGTGGAACTTTAAGGGACAAATCACATTGAAACACACAAGGCACACCTGTCCCTGTGTCTAGTGGAACTGGA